TCTGCTCCCAGTGTGACAGAGGACAGGTAGAGACAGAGCTGCACTTTCTAACCTCATGCCCTAAATATAAAATCTTGAGACAAAAACACTTCCCAAACATTTCCCAAATATACCCCGAATTCGAATTTATATCAGACACACAGAAACTCCCCTGTTTACTGGGAGAAATGCCAAAAAGTCAAATCATTGCAGCAAAATATGTCTCCTCATGCCACGAACTGAGGACAACCATGAGGATCACCGAGTTCATCATAGCACAGAGACAGCTCTGGTTAAAGTTAATAATGACCTTCTGACTGCTTCTGACAATGGACTTGTCTCTGTACTTGTATTATTAGATCTTAGTGCTGCATTTGACACCATTGACCATAATATTCTTTTAGAGAGACTTGAGCATCAAATTGGCATTAAAGGAACCGCACTAAGCTGGTTTAAGTCATATTTATCAGATCGCTCGCAGTTTGTACATGTTAACGATGAATCTTCAATAAATACTACAGTTAGTCATGGAGTTCCACAAGGTTCTGTACTTGGACCAATACTGTTTACTTTATATATGCTCCCTTTAGGCAACATTATTAGGAATCACTCCATTAACTTTCACTGTTATGCAGATGATACGCAGTTATATCTATCAATCAAACCCAATGAAATTAATCAATTATCTAAATTACAAACATGTCTTAAGGACATAAAATCCTGGATGACCTGCAATTTTCTGATGTTAAACTCTTTAGAGACTCACTGTCTAAAGATATAGTTACTCTAGATGGCATTAACTTGGCCTCTAGCACCACTGTCAGGAATCTTGGAGTTATCTTTGATCAGGATTTGTCATTTAACTCCCACATAAAGCAGACCTCTAGGACCGCCTTCTTTCATTTACGTAATATTAGAAAAATTAGACACATCCTATCATGGTGGTACTGTTGGGTCTCTGTAATTAATGTTAAAGAGTTCGGTCTAGACCTGCTCTATTTGAAAAGTGTCCTGAGATAACTTCTGTTATGAATTGGCGCTATACAAATAAAATTGAATTGAATTGAATTGAATTCACAGACAGATGCAGAAAAACTAATCCATGCATTTGTTACTTCAAGGCTGGATTACTGCAACTCTTTATTATCAGGTTGCCCCAATAAGTCCATTAAAACGCTCCAATTAATTCAGAACGCTGCAGCACGAGTACTGACAGGAACTAGAAAAAGAGATCACATCTCTCCAGTACTAGCTTCTCTGCATTGGCTCCCTGTAAAATGTAGAATTGAATTTAAAATCCTCCTCCTCACCTATAAAGCTCTTCATGGTCAGGCCCCTTCATATCTTAAAGAGCTCATAGTACCCTATTACCCCTCTAGAACACTACGTTCTCTGAATGCTGGGCTACTTGTGGTTCCTATAGTCTCTAAAAGTAGAACAGGAGCCAGAGCCTTCAGTTACCGAGCTCCTCTCTTGTGGAACCAGCTTCCAGTTGTGGTTCGGGAGGCAGACACCCTCACCACATTCAAGAGTAGGCTTAAGACATTCCTCTTTGATAAAGCTTATAGTTAGGGCTGGATCAGGTGAGTCCTGAACCATCCCTTAGTTATGCTGCTATAGGCCTAGACTATCGGGGGATTTCCCATGGTGCACTGAGCTCCTCCCTTCCTCTCTCTTTCTGCACTCATTCATGTTCCATTTATGCATGTTACTAACTTCACTTCTTCCCCGGAGTTCTTGTGCTTTCTCGTCTCGAAGGTTCTTGTCGATCCTGGTGGAGCCTCCTGCCATGGTCCTGCTTGACTGCCATTGCCAATACTGTTGTTGCTGTGCACCTGTCTGTCTGTCTGTCGCTCTCTCTCTCTCTCTCTCTCTCTCTCTCTCTCTCTCTCTCTCTCTCACCCCAACTGGTCGAGACAGACGACCACCCACCTAGAGCCGGAGGATCTGTCCTAGGTTTCTGCCTTTTAACAGGCAGTTTTTCCTTGCCCTTGTCGCCAAGTGCTTGCTCATGGTGGTACTGTTGGGTCCCTGTAATTAATGTTAAAGAGTTCGGTCTAGACCTGCTCTATTTGAAAAGTGTCCTGAGATAACTTCTGTTATGAATTGGCGCTATACAAATAAAATTGAATTGAATTGAATTGAATATATAACCCACTTTCAATAAATTTTAATGTTTCCACGGGTGAAATGCTCCTTTAACTTAAACTTTAAAGGTTCAGTGTGTAACAATTAGGATTATGTTGTCATTAGTGTATAATCACCTGAAAATATAACTGTTATGTTTTTGTTACCTTAGAATTACCTATACCTTTAGACAGTGAGTCTCGGAGGTTTAGCATCAGAAAATTGCAGCTCATCCAGGTTTTTATGTCCTTAAGACATGCTTGTAATTTAGATAACTTATTGATTTCATCGGGCTTGATTGATAGATATAACTGGGTATCATCTGCATAACAGTGAAAGTTAATGGAGTGAAACCTAATAATGTTGCCTATGGGAAGCATATATAAAGTAAGTAAAGTAAAGTAAAGTATAAACCACAGAACCTTGTGGAACTCCATTACTAACTTTAGTGTTTATAGAGGATTCATCGTTAACATGTGCAAACTGAAAACGATCCCATAACACAACTTTTTTTCTAGTTGGTATGTATACTTAGATCAAAAACCTGCTGCTAATTGTTTGTTATATCATTCTACAGATGATGTTAATTTTATTTGCAGAGATTAATTTATATTTAAGTTATTCATAAATGTTAGGAGAATTTTCCATTCAAGAATTTTATTTTTACATGAAAATCTGCCGTTAATCAGCTCAAAATCGCCATGCAGCGCTTACTTCCTTTTGCCAGTAGGTGGCGCTATCACTATGTCTGAATGTTGTCATGTAGACATGTTCAAGGCGAGACTGTGATAACACACGTGAAGTTTCATTGAGATTGGACCACGTACGCTGAAGTTATGAGGAAGTGTTCAGGGCAAAACTGTTTCAGAATATATGAAGTTTATTGGAGATTGGACATTGCACACTGAAGTTATGAGCACTATTTTATTGCGAATCTGCTGAAATGGACAAGTTGTCACTGGTACGCGGTTTAATGTACAGTCACAGCTCAACTTTTCAATCAGTTTGTATGACGACAGAATTCAAAGTGGCCAACTTTGACCTCACGCCACAGACACGCAGTTCAACATACAGTCTCAAATAGCACAACTTTTAATCAGCACCATTTTTTGACTGTACTGACCAATTTTGAAGCAGATCCAATAAATTCCCTAGGAGGAGTTCGTTCAAATACAACGTGAAAAAATCACTGAAAATGCGCACGGAATTCACTATAGCCAACTTTGAGGGCACGCCACGGACACGCCCTTTAATGTACATGCACAAATAGCACAACTTTTAATCAGCACTATTTTTTGACTGTACTGACCAATTTTGAAGCAGATCCGATAACTTCCCTAGGAGGAGTTCGTTCAAATACAACGCGAAAAGTTTGCCGAAAATGAAACTTTTAATCAAAATGGCCGACTTCCTGTGGGGTTTTGGGTATGGGTCCAAGAGGCTTTTTTGTACATCCCGGCATGTTACACGTGCCTACCGAGTTTCGTACATATCGGTGAAACGTGGCGCCGGGGCTGCTCTTTTTTTATCCTGTAGGGGGCGCTACAAACACGACAAACACGATTTTTGGTATGTCAGCTTCAGGCCCCACTTTACACGTGCCCTGTGAATTTCATATTCATAACTATTACGGTCTCTGCACAGTGATTTACCATGCCACCAGAGCGGCACCTAGTGGCGGACTGTTGACACATTTTTAGTGAGCCTCAGGGAGCCATGGGAAAGCATCGTACCAAGTTTCATCTTAATCACACATACCGTTGTAGAGATATAAACTTCTTCATTTTAAAGAGCGCCACCTAGTGGTGATGACCTGAAATTGTGCACGATGCTTAAGGAAGACATGTGGAACTATGGACCCAAGTTTGGTGTCAATCGGACATACTAATGTGGAGAAATGGTCCACTTCCTTTTTTTGAGGAAAAATCTACAGGAAGTTGGAATTTTATAGCATTCTTATTTTTTGAAATTTCAAAAATGTTCAAATTACTCTTTTTGCCAGGGCGGTCCCCAGGTGCTAGGTGAGAAATGTTGTGCGAATCGGACAAAGCGTGTAGGAGGAACACAAAAAAGTAGTTTAAGGACATTTCACGCTCTAACGCAAAAAAATTATTGGCGGAAGTGGGCGGGGCCTATATGGGGAGATTCAGCTCCATTAACCGAACGCGTGGATATAAGGTTTATGAATGTGCTACAAACTATGCAGAAGTTGTTAGCCTAAACGCACTTCTTATGATAGTAGCTCCACCTAGTGGCCAACCCAAAAGCGACACATAGAATATCCCCATTTTTACCATGCCTGACAACTTTGCCAAATAAAATTTACTTTTCGTATATGTTCAGGGGGGCAAAAATGCAGTTGAAGGGGGCTAAAAATAATAATAAGAAGAATAGGTAAGAAATCGAGCAAAAACAATAGGGACCTCCAGCGGTCGCTGGCTCGGTCCCTTAAAAGATTAAGAAGCACATTTCTCATAGAAGGCGTCCAGATAGGTAATTCCACTGTATGCACAATGTTGCATGCGTCTGTGTTTTATATATACAGTATTATTCATAGCTCACTGTCAGTAAATATGAAACAGTAAGTATTACACTACAAGAGAGTTTAAAGTTATTTAAAGCTGTGAATAAGTCATATGGATATTGGAGGTGCGGTTACAGCAATTGCGCAGAGCTGGCATGGCCTTTGGTGGAGCCCAGGTGGTCATTTGCTGTCGGCAATCTTTCACTTTCTGCTCTGATGTTTAAACCAAATGTTTACCCCTTCAATACGAGATGGAGTCTTTGAGATATGGTTTAAGAGTGGGATCCAATCATTACAGCATCTCTGATAATAATTTTGCATCTTTTGAAAAACTGATAACAAATTTGGTTTCCTAATGTCTTGTTTTTAGAACAAGCCAGTACTGGATCAGATCATCTCCTTATCCCAAGGAGTTGGACTAAGATCACCCCTTGCCAGAGGAGGAGACTACCCCGTCCTTCATTCCCTGTCACTTGAGTATACATCATTGTGGTAGGATTGTGAAACCCTCACGCCTTACTACTTGAATTTTTGACAGACATAAAAGCACTTTGAAATTGAAATTGACTGACTAAAGTTAGCTGAACTGACAACTACAAAAGGAACAAACTTGAACTTGAGTGGAGCAAAGAAATCCTGAATTCCATTCTATACCAGAGACATTTTTCTTTGTTGCTTTGAATTGTGTTGAGTATAACCATTTTCATGTACTTGATGTTAATTTGAACTTTAAAACACAGTGAAAACTGTTATTGTGGCACCAGGCTGCTTGTTTAGAAAGGAAACTTTTTTTCTTTTTTTTTTCATAGTACAACTTTCAATACATTCAAATTTCAAGTTAAAGTACTCTGTGGCTCCAAATGCTATTGTGTCTGTCATTCACTTTTAACTCCTACGAACCTAGACACTGGTCCTATATATATTTGATTATTCTGTTAACTCTAGGTGGGTTACAGAAACAAGTACAAAGACAGTAAAGTGTAAGTAGTAATATGTTGAGTAAAGTGAAATAAATGAACGTAGCCTTTATACATGAAAAGATAAGTGATGATTTATTAAAAGTTTAAACACCTTCCATGTACATTATCTAAAGGCAGAGTACAGTATCTGTATTTTTTAAGGTGTTATGTAGGTTTTATTTTAATAATCTGCTTTTCCACCATTTTAAATCATGTCTTTCATAATTAATGAGTATGAAGCTGCATTCAATTACCAAAGCTTAGTGCAGTAAGTAAAAGTGTCCAGCAGATGTAGGTGGAACACTCATTACTGACAGTGCTGATTAGCCAGCATTCACTGTGCTGCTGAAGTGTTGAGTAAATATCACCAATGTAGACAAACACAGAACATGTGTATGTATTTTTTTTTGTTACATGACAGCTCTAACTTGTTTAGTATATCATTCACTACTTCTCATATTTAGAGTAATTTGGCTGCGAACAATAGATGCAAATAGATATAAATACATCCTCCCCATTCCTTAGTGACATAGAGGCTATTCACCTCTCCACACCTCTGCTATAAATATAAAACATTTAACAGCCAAATGTAACAGGGCTCACAGTGTGTGTGCAAGGCTTTTGACCGATGAGTCACATACTCTCACAAACAGAAAAGACAAGGCTGTATAAACAGTAACCAGGCAACAGGGTCAACGACCTCAAATGTAACTGTCTGAACTTTGTTTTAAAGGCTCTGTGGCTCTTCTCTAAATGTCACATGAACATTATAAAATACATGAAATGTCTGAAATGATACCACTAAACAGCTTTACAACACTTTCCTCAATAAATATGCACATAATGTCCTTTCTAGAATCTCTGTGCTTATGATGACATACTCAGTGTTAAGAGTAAGAGCAGGGCAAAAGCTTCATGGGAGGAGCCTGTTCTTGCCCATAAACTTTGTCTTTCTGTCTTCTGAACAATCAGACTTTCCTGCTTCTCATCTCAGCCAGAGACAGAACATCTTAGAAGTGAGTACAATTATAAATAAATAATTCTATTAATATATGTATGTCTAATTTTATGGTAGAAAATAAGAACTTAAAATACATTACACATCAACACAGAAAGTTAATGATTTAAATTATTTGCTTTCATGGTGTACAGTAAATGGTAAATAGACTGTACTTACATAGCGCCTTTCTAGTCTTTCGACCACTTAAAGCACTGTACACTACATGCCACACTTATTCACACACATTAATACACTGATGGCAGTGGCTGCCATGCAAGGTGCCAACTGCTCACAAGAATTGAAACTAATCATTTATACAAACTCGTATACATCGGTGTATGAGTGGCAACCTGTGGAGAATGTACATCACCTCCCGCCCAATGTCAGCTAGCTGAACTGAAAATGAGGAGGGTCTCCAGCATCTCAAAGCCAAGGCAGTTGTAGAAGATGATTTTATGATCTTTCCCCAGTGCATGACATGTGTCTCTCATGGTCTCTCTTAAGGTTGATCACACTCATGTAGCCTACCCCATATTATTAGAGTAGAGTAGAGTAGAGTAGAGTAGAGTAGATCTTTTTGTCCCCAAGGAGAAATTTGTCTTGGGCAAGTCCACTGCTTCACATAAAAAACATTACAAAACCAAAATAAGTTTTTTTTTTTTTAAAGTGCGAAAGTGCTGGTATTTTTATTCCCCAATTGCTCTATTGTATGAAGATTTAGTATTGAAGTTCAGCAGAGAATAGGTAGTAGTTCAAAAACACCTACAGCATAAGCATTCTTAAGCATTAAATTCCTCCCTAACACCAGATTGTCACTTTATATATACACTTTAATAATTCAATACGTACCTAGTTAAAAAATAACTACAGTATAAATTATTAAATAATAATAACCTTGCAGTTGGAAAGGGAGGGTGAAACGAGTTGCAATCTGCAATTACACCACTAGTGCCACTAAATCCTACACACTGGACCTTTAAGATTTCAGTTTGATTTGGTCACCTAATCTCTCTGAATAGAATCATCTTCATTTTATTTTCATTAACTCTAGGTCACTTACTCTTTACAAGCAGTGGCAAGTGATTTGCAGACTTTAAACAAAAGCGTGAATGAGTTTTTTTTTACAGTTGTCTTTCCTTGTTAATGTTCTTCACCACAGCAAATAATATTTTTTGCTTTACACAATTATATATTGTATCTCTCTCTCTCTCTCTCTCTCTCTCAATCCTCCTCCCCCTCTCTTTCTCTCTCTCTCTCTCTCTAAACCCAATTGGTCAAGGCAGACTGCCACCCACCTAGAGCAGGGGTCTGCTCGTGGGTTCTGCCTCTTAAAAGGAAGTTTTTCCTTGTCACTGTCATTAAGTGCTTGCTCATGGTGGGAACTGTTTCTGTAAATAATCATATGCGTATGGTCTAGACCTACTCTATTTGGAAAGTGTCCTGAGATAACTCTTATGATTTGGCGCTATACAAATAAAATTGAATTGTATGTCTAATAATAAAAAATCATTCTCTATAGATATGCTTGATACCTGGATTTTATTGTTTCCCCTCCTGTTAGGTAAGTTAATACGTCCTTCAAAAACATTTAGAACTGATTTATATATTAGCATCAGTTAATCTAAACTTGTCACTCTCAAAACACCTGCAGGGGCAAGGGCATTCATGATCCACAACAGCCAGCACAGTCTGTGTGTGGAAGACTCAGCAGCTACAGGTGTAGTCCTGCTGAAGAAGTGCCACCTGGACTCAGAGTCTCAGCAGTGGATCTGGATTGATCAGGGCATGCTGAAGTGTGTTGCATCATCCAGATGTTTGTCAGCCATGCAGACAGAGCCTCTTCGGACCCAGGCTTGCCAGGGGCCAAACGTGGATGCTGCAAGGTTGATGTGGGATTGTGACAGGGACAGACTGATCAGTAGGAACACATCAATGCTGCTGTCAATAGATGGCCGACATCTGATTCTCACACATGACAGCAAACACTTTAAGTGGAGATCTCTGGATAAGGGGGACATCTGCCAGGAAAAACTCAGTAAGTCAGTGAGGATTACAGGTTACATTATTACAGTACAATTTGTGGAGGCAGGCACTGAAAGTTGTTTGGCTCAGCTACACAAATAAAAATGTTTAATCTATTGTCAATATGGACATGCTACACATCGTTAGGTCTGTTAGATTCTCCAACTCAATTCGGAGTATCCTTGAGCAAGATACTAAACCCCAATTGCTCCTGAATGAATGCGTTTCTATTCAATGGGCTTTGCCATCGCTGTGTGAATGTGTGTGAAATGGCGAATAGGGCATGTAGTGTAAAAGTGCTTTGAATGGTCGGAAGACTAGAAAGGGGCTATACAAATACAGGTCCATTTACCATTTACCATTTTCCAAAGTACAATTCATTCAGATTTACCGGCATGTATGTCTGTATGCTGGGTGCCATAAATGTTTGGATGCCATAAAATGATGAGAAATTTGAGATTTGTGAAACAAAACTCAGGAGAAGCAGCACAATTAGATAGTATTCCCATCTCTGCAGGGTATTAGAGTTAAGTGATTTAAAAAAAATAAAATACAGGTAAAATTTAGAATGGCAAGGATCCAGACATCAGGCTTTCTGCACTACGCCAACCAAAATATGACTCTTTACAGTTACACTCAGGACATAGTTTGTTCACTTTCCTGCAGTTTCTTGGAAAGCCAATGAGGATGCTAGTTTCTTTGTATAAACTGGAATGTAGACATAGATTTTCTGGTGTAACCAATAATTAGTGCAGGTTTTGGCCCTATTATTTCATACAGAATCACAAAATTTTAAATGGCATCTGAACACCCCCTGTGGCAGAGAAGAAATATAATGTCAGTCAAAAGGGGAAAGCAATGTTGGGGATATATTCAACCCAGGTGTCGGGCTCCACGTGTTACAGTGGTCTAACTGTATTAGTTTAATCAATTAATGGTTATCAAAATGTATAATTATCAAAAGATACTAGAAAATGATAATAAAAGCGAACAGAGGACAATACACTATATACAATCTAACTTAAAGGAACTAAGCTAGAGGAAAAAGGTGTGTGTGTGTGTGTGTGTGTGTGTGTGTGTGTGTGTGTGTGTGTGTGTGTGTGTGTGTGTGTGTGTGTATTTGGGTTTGCGCGCCAGAGAAGGTTTATGTCTTTTGCCCTCTGACCAGATGTTTCGGGGTATGAAACACGTGTTAGTGGGAGACAAAGAGCATGGAAAAAGCGGGAGGGTTTGAATCCCTCTCCTCGTGTATGTGCTGAGGTTTAGGCCGAATATGTGTGTGTGTGATCTTAGATTAACGGTGCCGTAAAAAGGGAGTTAGTTGCATGCAATGACGGTGTCTATGTAAAGCATTACATTAACCTAACATCACCTTAGCACTATCTGAAAGACTACAGTTACTACAGTAACCTGAGTTAATCAAATCAACATCACAATACAATAAGCTGAATAAAACACATCAGTAACATTAACAGTAATTAAACAGTACTTGTTTAGCCGTTAACTCTGTCAAATCTGTCTATGGCCAGTACATTACCGACAGTCCAGGGTTAGGGTCAGCTGGCAGTCCTGTGAGCCAGGCTGATCAGGATTGTGGTTATGAAGTCCAAACAGTCTCTGCTGTGTGATGTCCACTGGCGCAGGTAGCGAGAGGAGAAGCGGTTTGCTTGTTGCTGAGCTGCAGAGTTAACGACTCAGCGTTAACGTCGCGTTGCTCCGGTAAAGTCAGCTGGCAGACTTTCTGTTTAAAGCTGCAGATGTTGACTCCCGTTAGCGGTGCGCTGGCCAGGGGTCGCAGGAAGAAGCAGGCTCTTGTGCCGTGCTATAATCCTTTGTCTTGAGCGAGATGAGCGAGAGAGCGAAGGGAGAAGAGAAGAGAGAGAGAAGAGCGTCTCTCTGGCTTAAATAGCCGGGAAGACGGGTCTGGGATCCGAGGGAATCTGACCAATGAAGGGTCAGTGTTTGGCCGTTTATTGCTTTCATGCCCCCCCGCTTAGGGGTCTGTTATCTGGCGGGCCCTTTTTCTTTGTCTTTAGTCACTACAAGCAGGCTTTATTGCTTACATACAGGCCCAACTGTAGTAATGACAATTTCTTTGTGGCCAGATTCCGACATGTTCCCTTTCCTCCGGTTAAATGGTAAATGGACCTGTACTTATATAGCGCCTTTCTAGTCGACCCTAGGGGACGACCCGCTCTGCCTCTGCGCCACAGCCGCTAAACACTTCAAATGAACATGAAGTTCATGTTTCAAAGTATCCTTGGATCCCAACACAGGGGGTCTTTTCTATCTACCAAAAATATCTTTCTTTGCATTGTTTGCCGAATGTTCTACAGAATACAGAACTGCTAATGCAGCTGGCTAGCCACACCACCTACAAAGGACCCACCTTTGACCAAGGCCTGGACTAAGGAATTGGCTGTTGAGGATGTGGACATAAACTGGGGTACTCTTTGGAAGAATATATTCCATTATCTGATCCACCTTGACTGTGTCAGAGGGCCTACCATACCCCACTTGTGAAACTGATGGCAGAAGGGATGAACGTGTATTATCATTGAAGCCACAGCCTGGTCAACCTGCTGCCATCTGGGAAGAGGCACTGAAGCTTATGCTGGCATACCAACAACCTTAAAGGGCAGCCTCTAAATCTTCAGGCAAACTGTTTAATTCACCCTTAGCACTCCATTATGTAATAAGGGGACGATTGTTTTTGCTATGTTTCTTCTTCTTACCTATTATTATTTTTAGCCCCCTTTGACTGCATTTTTGCCCCCCTGAACATATACGAAAACTCAATTTTATTTAGCAAAGTTGTCACGCCTGGTGAAAATGGGGATATTCTATGCGTCCCTCGGTGGCGCTACTATCATAGAAAGTTAGCTAAGCTAATAACTTCTGCATAGTTTGTCACACATACAAAAACCTTATATCCACGCGTTTGGCCTTTACATTTTTTTGTTAGAGCGCAAAATGTCCTTAAACTACTTTTTCGTGTTCCTCCTACACGGTTTGTCCGATTCACACGAAAACTTCCTCATGTCTTCCTTAGGTACCGTGCACGATTTCAGACCATCACCACTAGGTGGCGCTCTGTAAAATGAAGAAGTTTATATCTCCACATCGGCACATGTTATTTAAATGAAACTTGGTAGGACGCTTGCCCATGGCTCCCTGAGGCTCACTTAAAAAGGGCAAAAAAAAATCACTGTCATTCTTGACATAGAGACCGTAATAGGTATGAATATGAAATTCACAGGGCACGTGTAGACTGGTGCCTGAAGCTCACATACCAAAAATCGTGTTTGTCGTGTCGAATTCCACCGATTGGCCATCAAACAGATAGTACTCATATCTTCAGTGTACAGTCCCACCCTGAACACGTCTACATGACAAGCAGCACGCCCCGTGTTGCGTGGAGTGCGAGGTCCCGCCCAACGCTGCTTGAACTCCTCCTCTGGAATTTATGATCTGCTTCAAAATTTGTCAGTACAGTCAAAAAATGGTGCTGATTAAAAGTTGCGCTATTTGTGCATGTACATCTGCTTCAAAATTTGTCAGTACAGTCAAAAAATGGTCCTGATTAAAAGTTGCGCTATTTGTGCATGTACATTAAAGGGCGTGTCCATGGCGTGGCATCAAAGTCAGACATTTTGAATTCCGTCCTCATTTTCTGTGATTTTTCGCCTTGTATTTGAACGAACTACTCCTAGGGAATTTATCGGATCAACTTCAAATTTAATCAGCGCAATCTAAAGACATTCATGATTAAAAGTTGTGCTATTTAAGACATTCCGTCAAGCGGCGTGTCCGTGGCGTGGCATCAAAGTCAGCCATTTTGAATTCCGTGCTCATTTTCTGTGCATGCCCCGAGTTGCTTGTAGCTTTAATTTTTGTTTTATTTGTATTACTTAATAATACATTTTACTGTGTATATATTTTCTATATTTTTGTTTTTGTTTATGAGCAGGGCATAGGGAACTATTTTATAGGGAACTACTGAATTTTATTATGCAACTGTACACAACCTTCCGATTAGAGGACAACCCGCTCCTCCTCTGAGCCACAGCTGGCATATTCGGTTGATTTGCAATAAATAGAAATGTTCACAAAATCAGACTTATTTCTATATTCCATATCTGTATGCCTATTAGTATTTTACATGCAAGCACAGAGTATTTGAAGAAATACTAATACTAAAATACTTTACTAAAACCTACAATAACAGTTTTTTTTATTGTTTGTTTTTGCTTTCAGCAGAAACAAGTAGTAAATACAACATTGTATAATCGACTTTTAAGTTTATATGGTGATGCTTATTCCTATATCCAGCAGTTATTATTCATTTTAGTTGTGTCCACCAATATTCACCCTGTTTGAGTTCTGTTTTGATGTCTGACTCTTTAGCTAAATATGTGCTCCACTATGTTCACCAGCTAGTCTCTTTCTGTGTCTGTCTGCTGTGTGCTGCTGAGCAGGTAGTGTACAGTGGGTTTTTAGAGGTTAATAACTTCACTAAAATATTGAGATACATTTGTTTACAAATGATCAGTAATTGACTTGGTTAAGCAAAAGGTTTTGGAGACATTTAATGATTTTGAATATTTCTGAGGCTAATAAAAGGTACGTTTTTTTATTTATTCACTGTTGTGTGTGTTTGTTCTTCCTCCAGGATCCAGGAGGGCCTCTGATGATTCAGAAGAGTTTGAGGAGCAGATGGGCAACCTGGCAGCCATGACGGAGGAACAGAGAGAATACCTTCGCTGGTACTATCGCACAGAGGACCGTAAGTGTTGCTCCTAAAATAGACCATACTCCTTATAAAATTATTTTCCGAAACTCAAGGATTCTATGCTAGTGGGTAGGCACCCAATATATCGACATACCCCTATTGGAGGTAGGACAAAGCACAACAATGCTTTTATATTCTCCAGGAAATCCCATATATGAAATGGATTCTTGTATAAAAATATTTTACTGAAAAAGTGATTAAATTGAGAGATAGTGTGGCACACCCATAATTAAAAAAGTACAAAATAGAGCCCAGCCAAATGGGAGACAATACACCTTAACCCATGTAATTTTGTAATGCAAGCTTTGATTGATCCCAAATTTAAGTGGACAAGGGTTCCTCTACATGTCTGCATGACAGAATTTGAATATACTGATGCACTGAGGAAATACAGTACTATAAACACAGAAGTACAATAGGCGGAAACATCAAATATGATGGTCTATGATGAATGTATACATTTTCTAGGTCAATGATCTACAGTAAGACATGTATGACATGTACCAACAAAAAATGAAACGGGTGTAAATGACCTTTCTGCCCTTGACATCTGGTCTGCTGAGAAAGTGACCTAATCTCATCATTAGACACACAGTGGCCCATTGCACTGAGCTCATTGAATCAACACACTAATTTGCATAGTCATACAGAAGGTCAGGTACATATGTGATGCACTGAACATGAGAGAGCTGATCACTGCTAACATAGAACCAGCATTCGTGTCCGACATTCTCCATCCGCAATATTTCTGCAGCCTTGTGTAAGATCTGGATCAGAAAAATTGTCAGTGTCTTTGGAAATGTTGTCTCACAGTCATCTGTCTTTTCTTCTCTGAGTTGAGCAGCTGCTCTCAATGCATGACCAATGGATATATTCCTAAAGCACAGTGTTTTTTCAGCACATTAAAAAAATACCAGCATGTCATTGTAATGCTGAAGGAGCCTTGCAGGATTTATACTTATCTTGCTCATTTGCCTCATTTGGGTCCTCAGATTAAGGACCTTGTCTCTGGTACTCTTGCCTGTACCTGTTGTAATAGGTGTCAGACATTCTGGTATGATACTATTTTTACCACAAATGACGCAATCCCTTCGTATATTGAACAATTTTGGCTAAGTAGGGAGCCTCTCTCTATGAGCAGATGTAACTTGTTGTTCATTGATGTTACTGGAGTAGTTTGCTCTACATGATACATGGTATGACATTTTATTTTGAAGGAGACTATGTATTCTTCAACGTTTAGTATTCTTCGAAGGCCTTTTACCTTTGGATTCTTGACATAGAGATCTTGTTTCTTGGATTTTGCTAGTGGTTTGGCACAGATAATAGAAAGCTTTGGAGCCAACAGTAGAGTAGAAAAACATTCCCCAACCTGGGGGCCAGGACCCACAATATGGGTTGCCCAAGCTTCACTAGGGGTCGCAAGATCTTCTTAGGGATCTAGACACCGCTTTCAACCAAAGAGCTAATAGAACAATGAGAAGAAAACACTATATTTGTCTAAAAGAATCCTATTAAGTACTTTGTATTGATGTTAAAAATGAAAAAAAAAAAAAGCATAATACAGAGAATTGTATAAAAAAGTTTTGCAATCAGCTGTTGATATGATCTTCTTCCATATTTGGCAAGGCTAAAACTGATAAGCTATGGCCTGCTTCAGTTTGAATGATTCTAATCCTTCATGTGTCCACTGAATCTTTTCTGACGTGCCATAGATCATATCATGTAATGGTTGTGCTGTCTCAGCATAATTGGCAATCCATAGTCTACAAAAGTTACACATGCCTAAAAATTTGTATTATCTGTATTTTTGTCTCTGACTGCGGTATCTGTAGGATAGCATTTTCTCTTTACTTGGGAAAATATAGTTGTGGATTCACAATAGTCTTGAGCTAATCTGCTATGTATATATTTTGCCTTTATAAGTGAATGCAAACCAGAATTGTGATTCTGAATCTACTCAAATTGAGAAAAATGCATTCACTAAATCTATCACAGTGTACCAGACATTTGTGGGCTTAATATTGTTTAAAAGAGTGTAAGGATGAAGTACAGTTGGTGCATGTGGAATCCCTTTATTTACAGGTTGGAAATAATTTACTAGTCTCCAACCTGTAGCAGGAAACTTTTACACGAAACTTTTAACTGGAAAGATTGGTGTATTACATTCCACCAGAGCACATTTTTTTATCAGTCCTTTTTTTACTTCAACCGTGCCATCCTCTGCTTCAGGTCTTAATAGGTACTGTCTTACAAAAGGTCTGTAGTTATCATATAACTTTCTTGGTTTTGTTAATGGCTCAATGGCCATATTTCCAGTTGCAGATAAGATAAGATGGTCCTTTATTGATCCCCCGTAGAAGAAATTCAATACAAGAAACAGCAGCATAGGGGAATGTAGTATTTGTTTTTTATCTCCCTTGCACACTTTCAGAATCAGTTTTTTACATCCGTCAACCTGCAGTGTAAAAAAAATTTCAGTAGGTCTTACACAGCAAAATGCCTACGACCATTTTCAGTAGGTGTTTTTCTTTTTCAAAGCGTTTCTTTATTCAGTGTACAGAATTTCCCAACCCAGAGTTATGTGAGAGGAGCTCCCCGAACAGAAAAAAACATCAGTATTTGAGCACAGTACAAGTTAAATCCAGTATACGTTAATTAAGCCTATCAAAAGATAAGTTGTCTCCAGTTATTAAGGTAGCATAGGAGAAACTCTAGGTTTAAACATCTTCTGACTGGTGTGGTATGTTGACACGGCAACAGTTACATCTCTACTTTAGGTTTCTGCAAAACAAGGTACAAAATCATCAGTTACATGAGCACTATGAAGTCAGTATTTTTCCATCAGTTACACATAGCCAGGATCCTCAAAAGCCTAATCCTAACTAGTATCCTCCAAAACCCTAATCATAAGCAGGATTGGCCAAAAATCTAATCATAAGCAGGATACTTGTGAACGTGTACTAACTGCCACCCTGCAGCCAATAAATATGATTTATCGTAAAACACTGCATTACCGTTGTTGAGTGTTATCTTCTTCCTGTTGCAGCGACCACATGGAAGTTCGTGCTGCTCGGACTGGCCTTTGTCTGCCTTCTTGTTGGCTTTCTGCTATTGGGAATGGGAGCCATGGCCAACAAGTATGACCTGAAGTTATACAATAATTTTCAATTAATTTATTTTCATAGCATGCCCAGTGGTGCAGAGATTACAGTGGCACCAAGTGCGTTTGAGGTCCCACCAAAATGGCCTAATGATCATTAATCATAATAATGCTAATGTTGTATCAAGGGTGCAGAGCCAAAGTGTTTTTTTCACAGCCTTAGCTGAATGAAAAGAAAGAACACTGAGCTGAGAGTTCACATTTTAGCTGCTCCCTCTCACTCCTGTCACACCTCTACCAGCCTGCCACCGACCTGACTCAGCTCCACACACACATACATGGAGAGCAGACAGACAGCAGAGAATGGACAGACAGGAAAGAGATCTTGGTGCAGTTTATTAGAGTTGACGACAACTCCAGTACAAAGTTAAAAAAATAAGAACAGCAATATTTTCACCTGCTTTGTCCACAGTTGTATGGATAGATTTGTTGGATGGATGGATTTTCATAGTGGCATAGTTTCCTGTCTTTTTTCTTTCAGGAGCAGAAAGAAGATTGCAAAGTACAAGGCAGCAGCTGCCATGGCTCAGAAGAGTGAAGGCGAGGAACTACTGATCATTTCAGTCAGAGATGACAGTAGCAGCAAACCATCACTTGACAACCTTCAGCAGGGAAACAAACCTTCCAATGGGGAGGTGAGTGAGCTCACGGCAGGAAACATAGTGGTCACATGGAAAGATGGCAATACTTCCTGCCTATACTCGGATACTGCAGCAGTGGAGGAGAAACAGGAGGAGGCAGCTGCTGAGCCTGAGGCTGATGAAGCAGTGAAGACGATGAAGTGAAGAGTTCTGATAACTAACTAACTAACTAACTAACTAGTAACTAACTAACTCTACGCAAGAAAGCTAATATGTGTATTTACCACAGTGTCCTTTATATGAAGCCAGTAGACAATAAGCTTATCGTAGCAATTAGCTTCATCCTGGAAGCAGGGGGAGCGACTCTATTGAAAAACACCACCAATAGCTGTAAAGCTCACCAATGAACACAATGCATCTTGTTTGTTTAATCTGTACACAAAAATAAACAACACATTCTCACAGATTGTCAGATACCAACGCACCTTTCTTACACCCCTAAGCGTCTCATACACACGGTAAATGGGCCAAAGGGCCGCAACAAAACTTCTGTATTTAACGGCCTGCAAATAAGAACAGGCTAAAATAAATGTAAAATCAACAAGTTGTGGTTTTAGGAAGACTTCCATGCTGTAACTGTGTCAGACAGTAGCCAGGTGTAGTGACTGTGTGCAGTTTCTTGGAGTCTTGTTATCATGGGGAGGTTGTAGTGTGGTGACCTAAATTCAATTTTATTTGTATAGCGCCAAATCATAACAGAAGTTATCACAGGACACTTTTCAAATAGAGCAGGTCTAGACCAAACTCCTTATAACATTATTTACATAGACCCAACAGTTCCCACCATGAGCAAGCACTTGGTGACAGTGGCAAGGAACAAAGAGGAACATCTTAAGCCTACTCTTAAATGTGGAGAGGGCGTCTGCCTCCCGAACCACAACTGGAAGCTGGTTCCACAAGAGAGGAGCTTGGTAGCTGAAGGCTCTGGCTCCTGTTCTACTTTTAGAGACTATTAGTTTTTCTGCATCTGTCTGTGATAGTATGTGTCTAATTTTTCTAATATTACGTAAATGAAAGAAGGCAGTCCTAGAGGTCTGCTTTATGTGGGAGTTAAATGACAAATCCTGATCAAAGATAACTCCAAGATTCCTGACAGTGGTGCTAGAGGCCAAGTTAATGCCATCTAGAGTAACTATATCTTTAGACAGTGAGTCTCTAAGGTTTTTGGGGCCAAGATCAAGAATTTTGTTTTTTTTCTGAGTTTAACATCAGAAAATTGCAGGTCATCCAGGATTTTATGTCCTTAAGACATGTTTGTAATTTAGATAATTGATTAATTTCATTGGGCTTGATTGATAGATATAACTGCGTATCATCTGCATAACAGTGAAAGTTAATGGAGTGATTCCTAATAATGTTGCCTAAAGGGAGCATATATAGAGTAAATAGTATTGGTCCAAATACAGAACCTTGTGGAACTCCATGACTAACTGTAGTATTTATTGAAGATTCATCGTTAACATGTACAAACTGCAAGCGATCTGATAAATATGACTTAAACCAGCTTAGTGCGGTTCCTTTAATGCCAATTTGATGCTCAAGTCTCTGTAAAAGAATATTATGGTCAATGGTGTCAAATGCAGCACTAAGATCTAATAATACAAGTACAGAGACAAGTCCATTGTCAGAAGCAGTCAGAAGGTCATTATTAACTTTAACCAGAGCTGTCTCTGTGCTATGATGAACTCTAAATCCTGACTGAAAATCCTCAAATAAACTATTGTTATGTAGAAAGTCACACAACTCTTTGGCGACTACTTTCTCCAGAATCTTAGAGAGGAAGGGGAGGTTAGAAATCGGTCTATAGTTGGCTAAAACCCCTGGGTCAAGAGTGGACTTTTTAAGAAGGGGTTAATAATGAATAATGGTTAATAAAGAAAGATTAATCATATCCAGTATGTAACAGTGTTAGTTGTAATTTCACCCACTGCTTCACTCAGTGCCAGTAAGCTAGCCTCGGCTCCGGTGTCGGCAATGCTGCTAGCTCCTGTGTGGGCTTCGCTTACCTGTTCTTCGCTCAACGTCGTCAGGAGTTTGATTTTTCTTACGTGGCATGCTGTCGGATTGTCTCAAAAAGTAACTGTCAATGTTCATGTTAGGCTAATGAACCATTAAGAGGTTGGAGTGCTATTTTGTAGGGTTAGTGACCTTCCCTCACGCCGCCATCTTGAGAACCCTTTCTATATATTTTAAGATTAATAATAATTTCAAAGAGCGCTATTTCCTTTCAGATTTCTGCGCTTTTTGCTTTAATTGGTGGGGTTGGTGGTTGTACCACGGTGCTAGTCTCCTATGTTTTAATATTTTTCTCTTTATAGGGGTGAAAGACTAAGAACAAGACTTTCAAATTAATTATAATTTAGTTTAGGTTTAGGGTCCATTAAAAGGCTCAAATCATATATGGCTGCTACTCCACCCCTCAGCCGGTGCCTTGAGAAATGTGAGTATTAATATTACTGGGGGGGGTGGATTAATTTAGGCTAATATATTCTTCATGCCACAGCCAGGTCTCAGTAAGACAAAGTAAATCAATGTCATAATCTGATATTAATTCACTAAAACAGCTTTTGAAGATAGAGACCTGATATTTAACAGTCCACATTTCATTCTTTTATTTTGTGCTACTGAGGAGTTAGTTTTAATTTTTATTAGGTTTTTATGTGTAATTCCTCTTGTTTTTATTTCTTTAAATAATTAAGGTGGTCGATTGACAGACACAGTCTTTACAGGGTTTTGGGTGGGTGACTGTTCTAATGGAATTGCAGAGAAGTGTGTAAGACAGCAGCTCTGCTTCCTGGTCCCAACTCTGGATTGTCAGGGGTTGTCATATTTCTGGATAAGAGTCCAAAGTGGGATGGATGCTGTCTCTCCTAATCAGACCAGGTTTTCCCCAAAAAGGCTGCCAGTTATCTATGAAGCCCCCATCGTTTTTTGGACACCACCTCGACTGCCAGCGGTGGAATGACGACATTTGGCTATACATGTCATCACTGGTCATATTGGGCAGGAGTCCAGAGAAAATTATGGAGTCAGACATTGTTTTTGCATATCTACACACCCGACTCCACGTTAATTTTTGTGACCCTCGATTGGTTTAATCGGGTGTCATTACCGGGCTGGCTAGCTATTGCGGCTAAAGATATCTCTGTGGTGCGGTGTGGTGCCGTGCCTCTAGTTCACTGAGCCGCGCCTCCAGCGCAGTAAATAAATTATACTTCCATTATAATTTCATAGGTTCCATTATCACTATCCACTGCAGTGGTGGATAGAGTACAGAAAATCTATACAATAAAAAATTACTCAAGTTAAACTGAAAATTACCATTTGAGAAACCTTTACCAAAGTTAAACTAAAAGTACCTGGTTAATAAACAGTACAAGTTTTTTATGTTAAGACTTTCCTCTGTTTTACTTTTAATTTTTACTTTAATATTTAATATGAATATTCATCACATCATGATTGTTTCTGTTGATTTTACAAACTGCTGCTGAGGTTGATTAAATAGGTCAAGTTTGGTAATGCCTGAAACCGTTCAAACCAGCAACCAAGCAAACTGCCAAACTTAACTAAAGACAGTCAAAAGCTATGACTTCATGTCATGGTGCTCATTGATTGTAGTAATTCATCCTCTCCACCACTACCTATCCCAGATGCTCCAAATCAGTGTTTCTTACCAGGTGATCTATCGAGGTGCCCCAAATACAGCAACATGTTTTGTTAAAAACTGTGACAACAAAGTTTATTGAATTTGCTACAATTCTGATTCATGGCCCTCTTCTCAATGAAATAGACGTGAAACAAAGTTTCAATATTTCCAACTGGTGGTCAGAACATAACATTATCCAGGAGAGTCCTGAGTTTCTGTGGTCAGTAACATTGAGGAGATCATTTAAAGAACAGGTTGAAATGGGACTACAGAATAGGGATAAACCCAATGTATTCTCATCAAAGCATTCAGAGAAGCATCTGTATTTATTTTGTTTCTCTGCTCATTTCTTTACTCTCATTTCTTTTATACTGTATAGTTGTTCATTTGTCCACCCTTTCATCTAGCTCAGACTACAGCACTTTCTAATAAGTCTTTGACAGTGTCAGTGGAGACAGTGGAGGGGGTCAGAGGCTGTCAGAAGATCTTAAAGCCTTTAAGCAGGGTGAGTATGGCAGCCCTTCGTTTGCTCTGAGCCCTGGACGTCTTCACAGTGACCAGCTGGCAGTAGCGGGAGCCGGTAACTCTTGGTGCAAGGAGTAGTGAAGAAGGGAATAGTGAGAAGCTCTTTGTCCTCGCTGACGTAGACAGCCGGTACCAGACAGCTGCGTCTCCTGCCCAGCATCGCCCTCCTCACCGCCTCGTAGAAGACGTGCTGCACAGACAGGAAGTCTAGACAGGCTGACACTTCGAACAACAAACAGCCAAAACGAGAAACCAAAGCCACAGCATCACTTTGACTCATCTGCCTGAGAGCAAATCAGCTGTTAGAATAATTAATTTTGCTGTATTGAACCGAGGACAGAGAAGTTATTAAACAAATACATTCATTACTTTTTCCTTCTCTTTCTTCTTTGAAGTTTACAAGACACCAAATATGCATTACAGTATTTCAAAGTAAATTTAAAGAAATAAATAATGATAATAATAATAATAATTGAGTTTTCATACTTTCATACATTTTTGGTATTTATTCTAGCTTTAAGGCCCATTACAGTCTTCAGTGGCCTCAGTGGCTAGATTTGTATGCCATTTTTAGAATTCTAACCAAGCAAAATGGGCAGATTTTAAGAAAATTTTATTATATTTAGGAATACTGGGCTTGTTTCTAGCAGGACTGTTTTCACGGTACATTCAAAATTGTATGATAATATTACATATTACAATTAATTTATTCAATTTTAGGTACCACGAGAGGCATCTCGTACCATAATTTGAGAACCAATGCTCTATATTTATAGTAGGTGCAAAGATTAAAGCAGAAAAGATTTGTGAGTGTCCAGTGTTATTAGGGACCGAGCCAGTGTCAAACACTGTGGTCCCTATTGTATCTGCTATTTTCTTATTAGGGCCCGAGCACAAATCGTGCAAAGGTCCTATTGTATCTCTAGGAATTGTTATTGTCTGCGCCTTCGACTGCATATTTGGAGGTTGCAGCATGCTCGAAAAGTCATGAAAATTTGCACAAAATTTGATTGTTCGAGAACTCGACGAATGCACTTCCACCTAGAATTTTTTTCCGCTAGTGTGCGAAATGTCCATAAACTACTTTTTCGTGTTTCTCCTATGCGATTTGTCTGATTCACACAAATTCATGTAGCATCTGGGGACTGTCCTAGCAAAAAAGTAATTTGAAGAATTTTCACGCTATAAAATTAGCACTTCCTGTATATTTTTTGTCAAAAAAGGAAGTGGACCATTTCTCCACATTGGTATGTCCGATTGACACCAATATACATACATAGTTCCCCATTTCTTCCTTAAGCATCATGCACAATTTCAGGCCATCACCACAAGGTGGCGCTCTTTAAAATGAACAAGTTTATATCTCCGCATGGGCACATGTGATTAAAACGAAACTTGGTACGATTATTGCCTATGGTTCCCTGACGCTCGCTTAAAAATGTGTCAACAATCCACCACTAGGTGGCGCTCTGGTGGCAAGGTAAATTACTGTGCGGAGACCGTAATAGTTATGAATATGAAATTCGTGTTTGTCGTGTTTGTAGCGCCCCCTACAGGATAAGAAAAAAGCAGCCCCGGCGCCACATTTCACCGATATGTATGAAACTCGGTAGGCATGTGTAACGTGCCGTGACGTACAGAAAAGCATCTTGGACCCATACCACAAACTCCACAGGAAGTCAGCCATTTTGATTTTAATTTTCACTTTCGGCGAACTTATCGCGTTGTATTTGAACAATCTTCTCCAAGGGCATTTATCGGATCTGTTTCAAAATTGGTCAGTACAGTTAAAATATGTTGCTGATTAAAAGTTGTGCTATTTGTGACAGTACGTTGAAGGGCGTGTCCGTGTTGTGCCCTCAAAGTTGGCCAGGTTGAATGTCAAACTGTGATACCATTTCCGGCATTTCTATACGAACGAACTCCTCCTAGGGAATTTATCGGATCTACTTCAAAATTGGTCAGTACAATCAAAACAAACTAGATGAAAAACTATGCTATTTGTGACTGTACGTCAAACTCCACCGATCGGCCATAAAACAGATAGTACAGTGTACAATGTCCAATCTCCACTAAACTTCACATATTCTGAAACAATCCCACCCTGAACACGTCCTCACAGCTTCAGTGTACATGGTCCAATCTCAATGAAACTTCACACGTTTGATAAGAGTCCCACCCTGAACATGTCTACATGACAATATTCAGATATAGTGAGAGCGCCACCTACTGGCAACAGGAAGTAAGCGGTGCGATGCGATTATGATCTGATTTCCGCAAAATTTTCGTGTTGTGGTCCACACGTGTTATGGCAGCACATGATGCAGCCGCAGCACACCCCGAGTTGGGTGGAGTGCGAGGGCCCATTCATCGTTGCTTGCAGCTTGAATTTTTATTTCCATTTTTATTTTTTATTTTTTACTTGTATGTATATACCCTAATATACATTTCTATTCTTTAACGTAATGTGAGCACCTTGAGCAACTGTAACAAATAAATAACACCCCAGGGATCAAAAAAATATTTCTGATTCTGATAATATCGAGCGATAATGGGCTACATAGACTTGATTTGGAAAGTAGTCAGCAGTAGGGTATATGTGAGTGAAAACAGCCTGACAGTCAATACATCAGAGTTCATACCTGGTCACAGGTGTCCATCAGTCTCACTGTGACAGGCTGCTGTTTCACAATCTCCTCTGATGAATAGATGTCCTCTAAATGCACCAAGGATACGGAAGAAATATTTTCACAGATACATCCCAATTGTGTCTACAGTGGTGGAAGACTGTCTCTGTTTCGTCTCTAATAGCTCACTTTAAAGGTCCAGTGTGTAGGATTTAGTGGCATCTAGCTGTGTAGTTGTTGATTATTATGCCCTCGCTTCACCCTCTCATTCCAATTAGGAGAAACTATGATTCCCATAAAACTTGCATATAATGCAAAAGTCAGGATTTTGATTTGTCCATTCCAGATTACTGCACCATGGTGGTCTCCATACAAGAGGAACCCCTCCCTCTGTAGATAAAAACAGCTCATTCTAAGGAAACGAAAACAAAACGATACTTATCTTTAGAAGTTTAGGTGATCATCCTAAATGTTACACACTGGACCTTTAAATCTTAGTTTAAAACCTGGACGTACCTGCAGGATTCACATCCAGTTTGGGCCACATCACAACACAAAAAAGTTATGATGGTAAATTAACCTGTACTTGTATGCCGCCTTTCTAGTCTTCCAACAACTCAAATCGCTTTTACACTACATGCCACTTTCGCCTTTTCACACAGTGATGGCAAAGCCCATCGAACAGAAACTTACGCATTCATACACAGTCACACACACCGATGCACAGGGTTCAGTATCTTGCTCAAGGGTTCAGTATCCTACTCAAGGCTACTTTGACATGTGGTGGCCTATGATGTGGAATCTCACACTCTTTGATTGATTGGACTTTTCAGTGACGTAGGAGACATCTTGTAGTCAGCTGTTAAACTTTTGCTTTTTGAAACTATTTAATCCTTAACACTATTCTGGATTTCATGAACTTATCATTTGTGTTTTTATGTAAAATAGTGTCCACTAACTGTAGGTGTCAGATAATTGTAGTGCAGTAAAAAGTAAAATAGTTCCCTCTGATAAGCAGTGGAATACAAGTATAAAGTAGCATCAAATGGAAATACTCAAGTAAAGTACTACACTCTCCAGCACTGATTTTCTTTCCACCACTAATTTTCTCTATGTAATTGTTATTAAAATGAATGATTGGAGATCTCACCTGGTTGGGGATCATATTCACTGATGAACCGCTTAGTGAGGAATTTGACTATCAATGCTGTAACACAAAGACAAACACAAAACACAGTCTGACTGAGAGACTGCGAAGCCTCAGGGGATATTCGGGTCAGTGAAGGTCCTGAGAAAACCCCCACTACATAAACATCAGCATGAAACTTACATTTACTGGATGGTGGAGGGAGTTATTATGTCACAACAACTTTCACATCAGATTAAAGTGTCTAATAAACTGGATGAGTGTGAATGTTGGATGTATGCCGCTAAACTGCATTGCTGGCTTTATATATATTTTATATATATATATATACATGAAGTTATAAAATATCTGAATGGGTGCCTGACTGTCCTAAATCAGCTGAATCTGTTGATGTTTGATAGCCATTTCTACATTGAAAAAGGTGGAAGGAGTAGAGAGCCAAATAAACAGGGCAGAAGAATAACAGTAAATATAATTAGAAGGTTGCAAGAAGACACATTATTCCAATGAAAGAGCTGAAAAATTTGTACAGTGAATAACAGGAGTAAGTTATACCCTGTATAATAATTTTTCTGATTAATACAGTCAGGTGCTTACTTTGTAGAAAATTATGAATTTGTAATATATGAGCATAGATTATAAAACACTTTAAACAGGAGACAAAACTAAGACTTAATACTTAAACCTAATAGAAATGATTTAGCAAAACAAATGAACGCTTGTTTTATTTTCTCTGTTCCATAACATAGAATTTCATCTAAATATTCAAGTGAAAGTGGCACCTGATTTCTCGGATCCTATCACACCAAGCAGCACCGCAGCATCAGGAGCTGCTGCAGAGTTACACGTCTTCATTTTCCCAAACATCAGCGACATTAGTATCTTCCAAAAAACTTATCTTTGAAAAGTCTATCTTTATTCCTCTTTGATAAAGCTGCTGCACAGTTTTTCATGCAGAATGTCTGAAAAAGAAAAAAAAAGTTTAGTTAGTAACATGTATTAATGGGACATGAATGGTAAATGGACCTATACTTGTATAGCGCCTTTCTAGTCTTCCTGCTGCGCTACTCAAAGCGCTTTTACACTACGTGCCACAGTCACCCTTTCACACACATTCACTCAGCGATGGCAAAGCCCATCAAACAGGAACTAATGCATTCATACACATTCATACACCGCACAGCATCGGGAGCAATTTGGGGTTCAGTATCTTGCTCAAGGATGCTGCAACACGTGGTGGGAGGAGCCGGGGATTGAACCAGCAACCTTCCAATTAGTGGATGACCCACTCTGCCTTTGAGCCACAGCCGCCCCCAATGAGTGCAGAAAGAGAGGGAGAGGAAGAGAGGAGCTCAGTGCATCATGGGAAATCCCCCGATAGTCTAGGCCTATATCAGCATAACTAAGGGATGGTTCAGGACTCACCTGATCCAGCCCTAACTATAAGCCTTATCAAAGAGGAACGTCTTAAGCCTACTCTTAAATGTGGAGAGGGTGTCTGCCTCCCGAACCACAACTGGAAGCTGGTTCCACAGGAGAGGAGCTTGGTAACTGAAGGCTCTGGCTCCTGTTTTACTTTTTGAGACTATAGGAACCACAAGTAGCCCTGCCTTCAGAGAACACAGTGTTCTAGGGGGATAATAGTGTACTATGAGCTCTTTAAGATATGAAGGGGCCTGACCATGAAGAGCTTTGTAGGTGAGGAGGAGGATTTTAAATTCTATTCTGAATTTTACAGGGAGCCTGGTTCCTGTCAGTACTAATGCTGCAGCGTTCTGAATTAATTGGAGCGTCTTAATGGACTTATTGGGGAAACATGATAATAAGGAATTGCAGTAATCTAGCCTAGAAGTAACAAATGCATGGATTAGTTTTTCTGCATCCGTCTGTGACAGGATGTGTCTAATGTTTGTAATATTACATAATTGAAAATTAACTCCAAGATTCCTGACAGTGGTGCTAGAGGCCAAGGTAATACCATCTAGAGTAACTATATCTTTAGACAGTGAGTCTCTGAGGTTTTTGGGGCCAAGTACAAGAATTTTGAGTTTAACATCAGAAAATTGCAGGTCATCCAGGATTTTATGTCCTTAAGACATGTTTGTAATTTAGATAATTGATTAATTTCATTGGGCTTGATTGATGGATATAACTGTGTATCATCTGCATAACCATGAAAGTTAAAAGAGTGTGTCCTAATAATGTTGCCTAAGGGAAGCATATATAAAATAAAGAGAATTGGTCCAAGTACAGAACCTTGTGGAACTCCATGACTAACTGTAGTATTTATAGAAGATTCATCGTTAACGTGTACAAACTGAGAATGATCTGATAAGTATGACCTAAACCAGCTTAGTGCGGTTACTTTAATGCCAATTTCATGCTCAAGTCTCTGTAAAAGAATATTATGGTCGATGGTGTTAAATGCAGCACTAAGATCTAATAATACAAGTAGAGAGACAAGTCCATTGTCAGAAGCAATCAAAAGGTCATTATTAACTTTAACCAGAGCTGTCTCTGTGCTGTGATGAGCTCTAAATCCTCAAATAAGCTGTTGCTATGTAGAAAGTTACACAATTAATTGGCGACTACTTTCTCCAGAGTCTTAGAGAGGAAGGGGAGGTTAGAAATCGGTCTATAGTTGGCTAAAACCCCTGGGTCAAGAGTGGGCTTTTTAAGAAGGGGTTTAATTACAGCTACTTTAAAGGACTGTGGTACATATCCTGACAATATAGAAAAATGTATCATATCCAGTAAAGAAGGGACAATTAAGGGTACAACTTCTTTAAGCAGCCTAGTTGGGATGGGGCCTAACAGACATGTTGATTGCTTCGATTTAGAAATTACTGAAGTTAATTGATGAAGATCGATGGCAGAAAAACAGTCTATATATCTGATTTTACATTAGTTAAAGTTCCTGAACTTGGAGAGACAGTGATACCTGTTGAGGGCATTAGGTTATTAATTTTGTCTCTAATAGTAATAATTTTATTATAAAAGAAGCTCATAAAGTCATTGCTACTTAAGGTTATGGGGATATGTGGCTGAATAGAGCTGTGACTCTGTCAGCCTGGCTACAGTGCTGAAGAGGAACCTGGGGTTGTTCTTATTTTCTTATGTTAGTGCTGAGTAATAGGCTCCTCTAGCATTACGGAAGGCCTTTCTATAGGTTTTAAGATTATCTTGCCAAATTGAGCAATTTTCTAATAATTTCAAATAGCGCCATTTCCTTTCAGATTTCCGCGCTTTTTACTTTAATTGGCGGGTTTGGTTGTTGTACCACGGTGCTAGTCTCCTATGTTTTAATATTTTCCTCTTTATATGAGTGATAGAATCTAATGTTGTTCGTAGTGAGCCTGCAGCACTATTAAAGAGATGATCAATTTGGGAGGGACTAAAGTTATTATAGGACGCTGTTATATTCAGACATGGCATTGAATTAAACATTGATGGAATCTCCTCCTTAAATTTAGCTACAGCACTGTCAGATAGGCATCTGCTGTAGGAAGTTTTGCCTAAAGGTTTATAATCTAGTAATATAAATTCAAAAGTTATTAAATAATGGTCAGATATAAAAGGATTTTGTGGGAAGACTATTAAATGTTCAATATCAATGCCATATGATAGAACGAGGTCAAGAGTGTGATTGAGTGTGACAATGAGTTGGTCGCTCCATCCAAAGTGGGATGGATGCCGTTTCTCCTAATCAGACCAGGTTTTCCCCAAAAAGGCTGCCAGTTATCTATAAAGCCCACATTGTTTTTTGGACACCACCTCGACAGCCAGCAGTGGAATGACGACATGCGGATATACATGTCATCACTGGTCATATTGGGCAGGAGTCCAGAGAAAAGTCACACATTGTTTTTGCATAATTACACACCGACTCCACATTAATTTTAGTGACCTCCGATTAGCATAATCGGGTGTCATTACCACCGATGTGAATAAATATCTTACTATATTTACACTTATCTTTAGCCAGCAGTTTTAAATAGGATTCGATGTCGCCCGCTCTGGCCCCAGGGATACATTTAACTGTTGTCGCTGGCTTCACTAAATTCACGTTTCTAACTATTGAGCTGCCAATAACCAGAGTTGGTTCCTCAGTGGGTGTGTCGATGAGTGGGGAAAATCTATTGAAAACATGAACCTGTTGGTGGTGACCCCGTGGGCTTCTGTGGTTTGGTTCTAGGCTTCCTCCGAGCAGTCACCCAGCCTCCCTGGCTTCCATTGATAACTGGAAGCCTTTTTGGGGAAAACCTGGTCTGATTAGGAGAGACGGCATCCATCCCACTTTGGATGGAGCGGCTCTCTTATCTAGAAATATGGCGAAGTTTATCTCTAAAACCTGACAGTCCAGAGCTGGGACCAGGAAGCAGAGCTGCTGTCTTACACACTTCTCTGCGCTTGCTTTAGAACAGTCACCCACCCAAAACCCCATAGAGACTGTGTCTGTCCCCCGACCACCTAAATTATTTAAAGAAATAAAAACAAGAGGAGTTAAACATAAAAATCTAATAAAAATTAAAACCAACTCCTCAGTAGCACAAAATAAGAGAATGAAATGTGGGCTGTTAAATATCAGGTCTCTGTCCTCTAAAGCTGTTTTAGTGAATGAATTAATATCAGATTATGATATTGATTTACTTTGTCTTACTGAGACCTGGTTGTCCCACGAGGAGTATGTTAGCCTAAATGAATCCACCCCCCCAGTCATATTAATACTCACATTCCTCGAGGCACAGGCCGAGGAGGTGGAGTGGCAGCCATATATGATTCGAGCGTTTTAATGGACCCTAAACCTAAACTAAATTATAATTCATTTGAAAGCCTTGTTCTTAGTCTTTCTCACCCAAACTGGAAAACACTGCAGCCAGTTCTATTTGTTATAGTGTACTGCGCTCCTGGACCGTACTCTGATTTTATATCTGAATTCTCAGAGTTTCTATCAAGTGTAGTCCTTAAATCAGATAAAGTAATTATTGTAGGTTATTTTAATATTCATGTGGATGTTGACAATGACAGCCTTAGTAATGCATTTATATCATTAATAGACTCAATTGGCTTCTGTCAGAGTGTAAATAAACCAACTCATTGTTTTAATCACACTCTTGACCTTGTTCTATCATATGGCATTGATTTTGAACATTTAATAGTCTTCCCACATAATCCTTTCCTATCTGACCATTATTTAATAACTTTTGAATTCATGTTGTTAGATTATAAACCATTAGGCAAAACTTCCTACAGCAGATGTCTATCTGACAGTGCTGTAGCTAAATTTAAGGAGGAGATTCCTTCAGTGTTTAATTCAATGCCATGTCTGAATTTAACAGAATCCTATAACAACTTTAGTCCCTCTGAAATTGATAATCTTGTCGATAGTGCTACAGGCTCACTACGATCAACATTAGACTCTATCGCTCCTATAAAAAGGAAATTATTAAAAGATAGGAGACTAGCACCTTGGTATAACCACCAAACCCGCCAGTTAAAACAAATAGCTAGGAAATCTGAAAGGAAATGGCGCTCTTCCAAATTATCAGAATATCGCTCAAACTGGCAAGATAATCTTAAAACCTATAGAAAGGCCCTCCGTAATGCCAGAGGAGCCTATTACTCAGCACTAATAGAAGAAAATAAGAATAACCCTAGGTTCCTCTTCAGCACTGTAGCCAGGCTGACAGAGAGTCACAGCTCTATTGAGCCAAATATCCCCATAAACTTAAGTAGCAATGACTTCATGAGCTTCTTCTATAATAAAATTATTACTATTAGAGAAAAAATTAATCACCAACTGCCATCAACAGTTATCAGTGGCTCTCCAAGTTCAGGGACTTCTGTCAATGTAAACATAGATATATATTTAGACTGTTTTTCTGCTATCGATCTTCATCAGTTAACTTCAATCATTTCTTCATCGAAGCAATCAACCTGTCTATTAGACCCGATCCCAACTAGGCTGCTTAAAGAAGTTGTTCCCTTAATTGGCACTTCTTTACTGGATATGATTAATCTTTCTTTATTATCAGGATATGTACCACAGTCCTTTAAAGTAGCTGTAATTAAACCCCTTCTTAAAAAGTCCACTCTTGACCCAGGGGTTTTAGCCAACTATAGACCGATTTCTAACCTCCCCTTCCTCTCTAAGATTCTGGAGAAAGTAGTCGCCAAAGAGTTGTGTGACTTTCTACATAAAAATAGTTTATTTGAGGATTTTCAGTCAGGATTTAGAGTTCATCATAGCATAGAGACAGCTCTGGTTAAAGTTAATAACTGCTTCTGACAATGGACTTGTCTCTGTACTTGTATTATTAGATCTTAGTGCTGCATTTGACACCATTGACCATAATATTCTTTTACAGAGACTTGAGCATCAAATTGGCATTAAAGGAACTGCACTAAGCTGGTTTAAGTCATATTTATCAGATCGCTTGCAGTTTGTACATGTTAACGATGAATCTTCAATAAATACTACAGTTAGTCATGGAGTTCCACAAGGTTCTGTACTTGGACCAATACTATTTATCTTATATATGCTCCCTTTAGGCAACATTATTAGGAATCACTCCATTAACTTTCACTGTTATGCAGATGATACGCAATTATATCTATCAATCAAGCCCAATGAAATTAATCAATTATCTAAATTACAAACATGTCTTAAGGACATAAAATCCTGGATGACCTGCAGTTTTCTGATGTTAAACTCAGAAAAAAACGAAATTCTTGTTCTTGGCCCCAAAAACCTCAAGACTCACTGTCTAAAGATATAGTTACTCTAGATGGCATTAACTTGGCCTCTAGCACCACTGTCAGGAATCTTGGAGTTATCTTTGATCAGGATTTGTCAATTAACTCCCACATAAAGCAGACCTCTAGGACTGCCTTCTTTCATTTACGTAATATTAGAAAAATTAGACACATACTATCACAGACAGATGCAGAAAAACTAATCCATGCATTTGTTACTTCAAGGCTGGATTACTGCAACTCAAAAGAGATCACATCTCTCCTGTACTAGCTTCTCTGCGTTGGCTCCCTGTAAAATGTAGAATAGAATTTAAAATCCTCCTCCTCACCTATAAAGCTCTTCATGGTCAGGCCCCTTCATATCTTAAAGAGCTCATAGTACCCTATTACCCCTCTAGAACACTACGTTCTCTGAATGCTGGGCTACTTGTGGTTCCTATAGTCTCTAAAAGTAGAACAGGAGCCAGAGCCTTCAGTTACCAAGCTCCTCTCCTGTGGAACCAGCTTTCATTTGTGGTTCGGGAGGCAGACACCCTCACCACATTCAAGAGTAGGCTTAAGACGTTCCTCTTTGATAAAGCTTATAGTTAGGGCTGGATCAGGTGAGTCCTGAACCATCCCTTAGTTATGCTGCTATAGGCCTAGACTATCGGGGGATTTCCCATGGTGCACTGAGCTCCTCCCTTCCTCTCTCTTTCTGCACTCATTCATGTTCCATTAATGCATGTTACTAACTTCACTTCTTCCCCGGAGTTCTTGTGCTTTCTCGTCTCGCAGGTTCTTGTCGATCCTGGTGGAGCCTCCTGCCATGGTCCTGCTACATTGCCATTGCCAATACTGTTGTTGCTGTGCACCTGTCTGTCTGTCTGTCTCTCGCTCTCTCTCTCTCTCTCTCTCTCTCTCTCTCTCTCTCTCACCCCAACTGGTCGAGACAGACGACCACCCACCTAGAGCCGAAGGATCTGTCCTAGGTTTCTGCCTTTTAATAGGCAGTTTTTCCTTGCCCTTGTCGCCAAGTGCTTGCTCATGGTGGTACTGTTGGGTCTCTGTAATTAATGTTTTAAAGAGTTCGGTCTAGACCTGCTCTATTTGAAAAGTGTCCTAAGATAACTTCTGTTATGAATTGGCGCTATACAAATAAAATTGAATTTAATTGAATTGAATTGGTTGCTCGGGAACCACTGGGGGACAGCTAACAGAAGCTACCTTGGGTTGGCCCGCACCAACTACTGGGGGCTGGCTAGCTATTGCGGCTAAAGATATCTCTGTGGTGCCGTGCCGTGCCTCTAGTTCACTGAGCCTCGCCTCGAGCGCAGTGAATAAATAACACTTAATACAGGTTCCATTATCAATAAAGGAGGCAGAGGAATAACTAAACATCTGACAGACTGAGCAAGACAGGGCAGAAGAGGAAGAGGGAGAAGTCATCGTTGAGTGTTAAATGCTAATGAAGCTAGCATGTCTGAATTTATTTAGCAAAAGTCGCTGCTTAGGTATTTTTACATGAATACATTTTTAAAGTGCTCAAATATTTATTTAATAACTGTACAAACATGTACAGGGAAGATATTACCTGAAGTTATCGACGGTTGCTCCATGTTAGGGTGGCCATTTCCTTCATATGAAAAAGGAGGACACTTTGCATACACGGGGACACGCAAGCAGATATTTGTTTGGTATGATCCGGTTTTAAATTTTAATATGTTTTTCCAGCAGATTACATAAAGGTGCACACACATACCGCATAGCTAATAATAAATATACAAGATACAGCTCATGACAACGTGGCCTTCCAATTCAGATTACATAGGTCTAATAAACATCATACAGAAACTGTTCTTAATGTTTTTATCTGGATAGATAAAGGGTAAAAAAATACAGCACCTTCTGTTTCAGATGTATAGGCTTTGCCTAGGCTTCGCCTATACATATGAGTATGAGCATTTTCAGAATTTCAGTCCAACAACCGATGTTAGCTAACATTACTTCTCTGTCTGAGAGCTTGATTGACAGCCTGGTGGTAGCAACTGAAGCAGTGTTGTAGAATCAACACATGGCTCATTTGAATATTAAAATGAGCCATGTGTTGATAGGTCACAACAGGAAAATGTAACCAATGAAATTACTTATTTTGACAAAGCTTTTTTGACACACATATTTAGTCAATAAGTATTAACTAACTAACAAGGTAATGTGTCAAAAGGCGGACCTTTTTTGATATTTTCTCAGAAGGAGGACAAATGAGTGTCAGGCTTAAAAGCTGGACGAATGGCCACCCTACTCTGTGTCCTGTTGAGATGACGACGACGACGCTGGTGTTGTTAGACGCTGGCTTCTTAAAAACAGTGCCGTTGTCCACCCTGAAGTTTGTTCCATGCGTGATGAGGTGCTTCATCATATTGCTAGTATTCCCTGTTTTCCCCGAAATAATGTTGCCGCATTTGATGCATCTATTTGTACCCGGCGCCACAGGCGTGTAGTACAACCATACTTTTGAACGTTTTGCTGCTGGCATCTCAGAATGCTGACCAGCCAACTCCGCCACAGGCATAAATATGAGACTTTTATTTTGGCATTTCTCCACACTGGTGCAGTAAAGATACTTGATATAAAGTGTTTTTTTTATTCATCAGGGGCACAACACTTTATTAATTATAGCTTACGGCTCTAAATACCTTTATTCTGAAAACAGGAAGTAAATACGCTGTTTCTCCGCATTTACCATAATGCTGAGGATACTTGTACACTCGAAATTTAAGTGCGGCTGATTTGACCACGGAGATCGGACTCACGGCTGGATTGACCGCAGTCTACTAGCCTACTGTTTCTTCTACACAGCACGGTCCTGTAAATGACAACATCCGGTCTCAGAATATGAAAAAACAGGCGTTTTTTCCGTTTCTGTTTTCTAGTGATTTTATTTTTTGTTATATGAAATAGAAAATGAAAATCGAATATATTTTCTAATTTCGCTCATCCCCTTTTGACCATGAAAAAGAAAAACGCCTTGTATTTCAATTTAAATTTTTGTATTTTAAAACGAAAATCAAATAACCACTCGTTTTCTGTTTTTTAATACCCGTTTCTGAAAGGAAAATCCAATGACCAAAACATACACGGACCTGCCTTACTGCCCAACAATGCTGCTGAAATAGTGGCATGCACAATATGTGACCCAGGGGAACAACCTATTGTTACAGTGTGACTGCTCCTGCTGCTCAAGGACAAACTTTCAGCTGTTACCCAACTGTCAGCCATAAACAAAAAGCAAGCATGAATCATCAGCACATTCACAGCTACCCTGCCATTATCCGGCTCCTCTTTCTCGTCTGGCTGCATGTCATCATAATGTATTTGAACCGTGTCACACGTCCGCCTGCTATGTATAGAGTCTGTTCTCAGAGCTGTGAAAATAAGTAGAGAGTAGCGTATCAGCTAGCATCTGCTCTGGATCGGGGCAGTAATTCTCATTGGCAGTATGTGGTAAAACACCCTGGAAGATCAACATGTGGATCAAAGACTTGTGAGCAGTCCAGCTGGGATGTCATGCAGATGAGGAGGTGATGGAGTCCAACAGCTGTCCACACTTCATCCAGCAGCCAGAACTCTGTAAGCCACTGCACAGCCTAAGGGTCTACATCGATCACAGCTCTTTCATTGTGGATAAAACCGTTCTGGCTGAGAGCTGTGAGTACTTCAGAGCATTGTTCCAGTCAGGAATGAAAGAAAGCCAACAGGAAGAGATCCACCTGCGATGTGTTGGGGTTCGAGGCTTTCTGGTCATGCTACAGGTCTTGAACGGGGAACGACCTGTACTGAACAGTGACCAGATTGTGGAAGCCATTGAGTGTACTGCTTTTCTGCAGGTGCCAGCTCTCACCAAGCACTTGATCAATATTGTCAATTCTGAAAACTGCCTGCTCATGTACCACACAGCTACCACCTACGGTGTGTGGGAGCTCTCCCACAGTTCTGCCTTATTCATCAGAGATATGTACACTGACCTGAAGGAAGATGTTCACACCTTACCCAAAAAGCTGGTAGAGTACATTGAGTCTCTTCTCCTGAGTAGCTATGTGGCAGTGTGCAGCCACTCACCTTCAACTGATCTGCTGCAGGATCTCCAGAGAACAGTCTGTTACCTGGATGAGGACAATGGAGAGTGGAAGGTCCTGACACATCTGCCAGTGAGCACAAGCACTACCATGGCAGGAGTGGCCGTCCTGGACAACATTCTTTACATCATTGGAGGAGTACATGACGTAAGCAAGAAGGTGGTAGAGGATGGTTTCTGTTACAACCCTGCAGCTAACACATGGTCCACCATCTGTGGCCCCCATCAGCTACGCTACAACTTGACTCTGATAGGTCACGAGGGCTGCCTCTACACTGTAGGAGGCGAGTACAACATGAAGACACTGTCATCTGTGGAGAGATACAGAGTGTCTAATCAAAGCTGGAGCTTTGTCTCCCCCCTACCCTGCCCTGCAGCTTCGGTGGTGTCTGCTATAGCCACAAACAGGATCTTTATATGTCTCTGGAAAGGTAAGGGGGCCACAGAAATACACGAGTATGTGCCTGAACAGGACCTGTGGCTTCTAGTCACCACACTCATCCGCCAGCACAGTTATGGTCTTTATATGGCGGCCCACAAGGATAATCTGTATGTGATGCGCAATGGACCCCGTGATGACTTCTTACTGTGTGTAATGGACTGCTACAACCTGAGCTCAGGACAGTGGACAGCCATGTCGGGTCAGTATGGGAACTGTAAAGGCTCTCTGTTCACTGCTGTGGTTAGAGGAGACTCTGTGTTCACACTCAGTCGACAGGTGACAACAGAGTACACAGTACAAGATTATGCATGGAGACGTAAGCGTGAAATGAAAGGTTTCGGCAGGATTGGATCCATATATACATTTCTGATGAGGCTGCCTAAAGCCACTGTCTCCCCAATCGGAGATTCTCCAGATTGGACCCAGGACCAAATCCTAACAGATCTTGGTCACAGATTCTCCCCACAATGCTCTGCTAACCTGTAAGAGTGTGACCTAATGGGCTGATGACTGAGCTGATCCTTTACAGGACCATTCTGATTTATTACCACAGGCATCTAATTTTCATTAATTTGGACATCAAAAGTCATCAGACACAAACCACTACTGTATTTACAACCTATCTGTTGTAAACATCCATCACAATTTACAGATCTACTTCTGCTTCCACTTTGACCTACTGTACTCAGTGTAAATGTATGTAGTTTTCTCATACAATGAGGAAGTACTAGCTGCTTTAACTTTGGAGCCTACAACTGCATTTCATTGTGTAAATCCTGTATTGTGACAATAAAGCTAAATCTTTCAGTTTGACATCCAGAAAGAAGTTTGCATAATCTGGCTAAACTGTTAGCTTGCATCTGAGTGTCTGACTGCTTGAACATCTTTGTAGGAATGTTACAGTGTTTGTAGATTACAGTACAACAATGATTTGGTAACTGATAGAAATCATAGCCAAAACTATAAAAATAACACCCAAGTTGTATCCATTAATATTCAACAGGTCTGTTTTGGTGATGTTACACTGAAAAATGAAAATCTGTTCTTTTGATGTTTATCAAAGCTCTGTTTATGGGAACCAGTCTCTGATGGACATTGCTCCTGTTTTCACAGAAAACAAGTCTTGAATAATGCATGCTTCCCAAACTGATTCTTTCAGGGAAACAAGGTTAAATAAGACCAGAACACAGAAGAGAAATGAGAGTTGAATAAAAATAGAAAAACATTGTCTTGGTGGTGTCAATCTTTAATAAATCTGTCACAACTAATCAGAGAACTTCAGACTTTTTCACAGATAATACAGATAATACAGATGTTGTAAGGAGCCCCTAAAGGGACATGGAAAAAAAAAAACACATGGCTCATTTGAATATTAAAATTAGCCATGTGTTGATAGGTCAGGAGCGAAAATGTAACCAAGGAAATTACTTATTTTGACATACATTTTTAGCCAATAAGTATTAAACTAACAAGGTAATGTGTCAAAAGGCGGACCGTTTTTGTTATTTTCTCAAAAGGAGGACAAATGAGTATCCAGCTGCAGGACAGGGCATTTAAATGCGGACTGACAAAAAAGGTTACAGATTAATTTACATTTATTTTTTAGTTACAGACAAATTAGTTTAATACTCATTTGAATATTAAAATTAGCCATGTGTTGATTCGCCACAACACAGGATCCTATCTAGTGCGGACTAGATAGTATCTAGATAGTATCTAGCGCTCACAAGATAGTATCTAGTGCACACTAGAAATGTTTCTTTTTTTTTTCCCATGTCCCTTTAGGGGTTCCGTAGATGTTGTGTTTAGCCAGGTCAAATAAAATGTGCAATATGGGCAAATCGTTATCATCGTCATTACCATCATTATCATTGTACTCATCATCATCCATCTAACTGCCATATATCAACAATATATTTTTGAAGGCCACCATCCAACTTCATGTTTAGTCATTTTGTCTTTGCCTTTATCAAAATTTTAGATTTTCCTGAAGTGAATAACAGATTATAGTTTGCATCTGATTTATGTAAATTGTGTGTGTGTATTTTGATGTGCCATCACGCCACACGCGTCATCAGCTCCTCCAATGCCCGTTCTCTGTGGTTTTCATGGACCAGCAGCACTTCTTTGATGGCGTTCTGCTGGAAACCCATCTCATTGAATTGCCTCAGCAGATGAAGGAACTCCTCCGCCTCATAAGGAAGACATAATTATGATTTTTATAAAATTTTCTACTGACTCTAGCAAAGGGAAAGTGTTGTCATGTTGTCTCTAAGAAGATTAAATACTTGTGTAATGTATATCAGTGCTTTTCTTACCTTTGTTTCACAGTTTTGAAACATCTCCAGAGCCTCTTCTACCTGGGCAATATCATATCCCAGCTGACACAGATGGTCGCATGCCACCAGGTAACTCAAGATCTGCAAACACAGAAATATTCATTAATCTGGGACACACAGGGTTAAAAAACAAATGGCAGTTACTATTAAGTAAGTTAATCAGTTGGTCCCAGAAAAAAAACTCATAACCCAGCTTAATAAGGTCAAAAATATTAGTATTCAGATTATTTACCTTAGTAAAAGCATTAATACCACACCTTAAGTAACACTCCTGCATTCAAAAAGTCACTAAGTAAAAAAATGTAGTAAAAGGAATCAGTAATCAGCATATGTAATTAAAGTTTGTTTTTTGGACCAACTTTTTATTACTTTTCAAGCCACCTCTGCAAGGTAGTATAGACATATAAATGATCAAATCATACATGTTTTAGTAAAGGAAGAAAAGAAAGAAAACCCACCCTTTTTTTTATATTGTTTTGGGGTCTTTTCCCCTTTATTGTATAAGACAGCTGAAGATAGACAGGACAGGGGGTTGAGAGAGGGGATGACATGCAGCAAAGGGCCACAGCTCGGATTCGATTGTTAATTAATGTGTGTGAATAGATGAACTTCTATGATTCCAATTGAGTAACAATCATGATTGTACACTGGGCTCCAAATCTATCCTCTCACGTCTGTCTCTCCACATATCAAGATATCATATCTTACATCAAAGATATCACCAAGCCAGCAGCTGTTTGTATGGCTTCTAACATTTCGTCTAACAATGTTCCGAATATAGTAAGGAATTTATATCACTATCATTAATTACCCAGAGCACAAAGTTTACAAACTTTATATTGTTTAGACCAATAGACCAAACCTCAGAATTATTACAAATAAATTAAAATTAAAATAATTAGGAGGAAATCAGAAAATAAGGTAACCCTAACCCTAACCATCTGGTTAAAGCTCATATCTTTTTAAGTCACATTGTAGGCTTATTAAAAAAGTCTAAACCTGTGGCTGTTTATCTCTGTGGGATTAGAGAGTTAATATCTTTAGCCTTTCACACTAATCAACTGTCTCTACGTGACGTCAATCAGCGTTGAGCCTATGTCACAAGCACTGTGAAACTAACTACGGATTAATAATGATGAGCAGCAACTGAAGTTGTCTCTCTAAGATAGATCAAACATGCTCTGACATCAGTGCAGTGAAATACAATCTGTGTGATATATATTAAATATAAATGCAGTGTGTATATATATGTATATATATATATATAAATATACACTGTGTGTGGAAATTGTCATGACCTCTTTTCCATCAACCCTGTTCTGTGGCTTGTGTGTGTTTTACTCGGAATTCTGAACATTGACAGTATGGTTCTGAACAGACATAAGGAATAATGGGAAAATACATAAATGGTAAATTGACTGTACTTATATAGCGCCTTTCTAGTCTTTTGACCACTCAATGCGCTGTACACTACATGCCACACTTACCCCATTCACACACATTCATACAGTGATGGCAGTGGAAAATGACAGTACAGAAATGTTCAGTATGTATTTGGGTCAGAATTGTGCACCTGTCTGTCTGTCTGTCTCTCTCTCTCTGTCTCTCTCACCCCAACTGGTCGAGACAGACGACCACCCACCTAGAGCCGAAGGATCTGTCCTAGGTTTCTGCCTTTTAACAGGCAGTTTTTCCTTGCCCTTGTCGCCAAGTGCTTGCTCATGGTGGTACTGTTGGGTCTCTGTAAATAATGTTATAAGGAGTTCGGTCTAGACCTGCTCTACTTGAAAAGTGTCCTGAGATAACTTCTGTTATGAATTGGCGCTATACAAATAAAACTGAATTGAATTGAATAGAACTAAAAAAAGAAAAAAACAAATCTATATCAACGTTGTATGTGTATGTTGTGTGTTTGTATTTTACACTGCTGGCCAATACATCATCCGATTGTTTCAACTCCTGCATGTTGATATCAATATTGGCTTCAAAGACTTTAACACCCTACAATTGGACGAAAGGAGGTATTTACTGTGGAATCTAGACACACCACATCAGGCAACAAGAGAAGGATTGGGGGGGGGGGAGACTCCCAGTGGCAGCCAAAGAGCCTCTGGCTTAAAGCAGCAGTTTGGGTGACTGGCTGTGTATGTCACACTGACCAACCTGATCTGGGGTCAGTGTGAATGGCATACAGTAAAGAAAAGTCAGAGGTCTTACAGTATGTGTTGTATGTGAACTGACTTACCTGATCTGGTGTCTGCTGGCCTGTCTTCTGCAGGGCAATAATGGCAGTACGGAGGGGGTAACCCCGGGCAGTGATGGCCCCCAGCAGCTCTCTCTCCTCTGGGCTCAGAGCTGACAGGAGCTCTGCTGATGAGTCCAAAGCAGAAGAGGAGAGACCCTGGCGGGTTGAGGTCAAGGGAGGAGTTCTACAGGAGTCTTGCTTGATAGACTTCTAGGGAACAACAGACTGTAATAAGTGTGTGTTTACACAGACAGAGAGGTCGGCACTACTCAGTCAGTCAGATTGATTTTAAGTTTCTTTCTGTAAGGCTGACAGCAGTTTTGACCTGAGATATAACTCTGCTGAGGAAGACATTTTTAGAAGACTTCCACTTGCTAATCCTGATGAACCTCTTATAACCTGGCTGGATTCAGGGAGCAGACTTTACACAGTCTATTTTTAGAGTGTAGATCTCTGAAAACATTTTGGAAATGTGAACTGAAAAAAAAAAAACTGAACAGTGTTGACATTGACAGAATTTCAATTTCAATTTAAAGACATTTAATGAATGACTTACTGGCAACCTAAATATAAATGCAGTCAAGCTAATTCTGCTGTGTTGGGCAGTGAGCATGTGTGATACCACAGTGAGCCCTATGTGTTCTTGGCTTATGTGTGGAGATTCATAGTACGGCTCAGAAAAAGGTAATGCTCTGAGCTTTAGGCTGTATTCATAGTCTGCTCCTGCAGACTGGAGGGAGGGCTATGCTCCAGAGCATAAGCTTTCATCAGCCACACTAAACTCTCACTCATCAGGCTACATGGAAAACAAAACATAAGGCTTTCATGGTTAAAGCATAGTGACATAATGTGAATGTGAAAAATGAAAAGCACCGGATCTCATTAAAACATTAGATCACTTCCCTTATTACAATATGATATGATGTTTATAAGAAGTTGTTTTATACAGAGCAGTCAGCAATGTTAGGACAGATATGGGGCCTTTTTTTCTATCTTTTTTCAGGAGTGTGATTTTTCAAATTGGTTCTAGGTTTTTCAACACTTAAGTAGCCCCTGCTTGCGTTTAGGTTTGCTCTGCTTCTGCTCAAACTGTATGCTTGATTACCTGCATGCCAGGTTCATCCTTTCTCCTCACACTCTTCTTTTATGCACCTGTTAAATGTTTGTTTTCAGATGTCTCCTCTGCTCTTTGTGCAATAACCCTGTTAAAATTTCTCAACCAATAGAATGCCAGGTGTAGTGTTAAACCACTCTTGAGTCAGGAAGATGACGTTTTTTTTTCCTCTAGTACACCGACAGGAGGCGGTTGTGCTGTGTGGCTACTATTACAGTACATGTAGTTTTTATAGTGAAAGAAAAAGTACGGGCGCTGGTACATATATATTAACTGTCCTTTTATTCCAAAAGTTGTAAAGAAAGCAAGGGAAGAACATACAACAAAGTTGGATAAAGGATAAACTCTGTAAAAGAAAAACTTTCCATAAGGGACGCTCTAAAAAGTAAAGAGAAGGCGCCTGTGATGAGGCTGGGATCAATTTATTAGTCAACACTACACCTAGCATTCTATTGGTTTTGGAATTTGGACACAATTATTGCACAAAAAGTAACAGAGTAGAAATTTGAGGTTTTTTGAGCACACAGAAGCTGCGAGGACAAGGGCAAGCTATACTATATCTGCCAACATATAGTTTGATCAAAAGCAGACCAAGGGTGAGGCGAGCTGAATGAAAAAAGGTTACTGAAAACCGCCTGTCACTCAAAGCTGCCACCCCATTAAGTATGCATAACGCCAAAACTTTTGGAGTTTTATAAAAAGATTCACCCTGTACAGTTGTCATGAATGGGGAAAATAGCTACAGAGACCAAAACCGTTTTTGTGCCAGGTTGTAAACATGTTTATTTCTTCTGTAAAGTTGTGCATTTGAATATGGGGCATTATGGAGGCTGACTCACTTCTGTAGCTAGCCTCAAGAGTCCGTTCAAGGAATTGCAGTTCTTTTACTTCCATGTTGCCATTCGCCAGCCACAGAGGATGCTGTTTGGTCGAATCGTCTTTGGACATGTTTTTACTAATGAAGCTGCAGTCTGAGATCTTTTTTGATCCAATTACTTACTTATCATAACTGATAGAGCTAAAGGCCTGGAGTCATGAACCAAAAAGTGAAGTATTTTAATTTGTCACAGAAACTTTGGTCCTTCAAACTGGGGACTGGACTATGTATAAAAAGGGCTACAGCCCCCACATTGCTAATTTACTGTGAATGTAAAAACCCTCACATTAAAATTAAATTAAATAAAGTTGACCTTAATTTTTATCTAAACGTTGACCTTATTGTTTTCTAGGTACATTTTGATGAAGGACAGAATCAAAACAATGAAAAATTTATTTTAGTTTTGGCTGTGTGGGAGAATGCATCTTGAAAACATCACAAAATATTTGTGAGATGCTGCAGGTCAGTGCTCATTTCTAAGTTAGGTTTACCACACCCTGGACCTGAGGTATCTTCTTCAAAATGTCACACTGGTATTTAAAATGTTTAATTATGTATTGTGAATCAAACTGGAGCACCACTGGTCACACTCCAGCATGTTCTCTTATATTAAAATGTGCATGTCTTACCATATGTGTTGTGTTTTGGTTGTTGATGCAGAGGAGCCTTTTAACTGTATTGGCTCTGGTGTCGGGGGTCCTGTGTGAGGATGGGATCTTGGATTGGCTTTCTGTGTTGGGCTCATGTCGTTTGGACTTGTCCACCACTGAGAGGGAGGACTGACGTAGGTTCTTCCTGCGCTGGTGTGGCAGGCTGCTGAGGCAGGCTGGAGGGTTCAGGAGGTCTGGGATGAAGGCTCTCTGTGCTTTCCTCAAACCATGCTGACATGAAGCAGCAGGACGCTCTCCGTCTGAGCTGGCATTCACTGACAAACATGTCTTGGCTTTCTCTATGGCACTGTCTCCTTCATCCTCAGAGTCTGAGATGGCAAACTTGGTGCGCAGGACGGCGGGGTTGAGGCTGTGGGAACGCTGTCGAGGATTGGGCTCCCAGAAGTCGGAGCAGTGGCGGCTGGCCAGGCGGCTCTGCTGTGGGCTGCTGAACATCATCCAGTATGGCGGACAAGACGGTAGCAGTCCTGATGAAGAGGAGACCAGCTGAGGCAGATGCTGGCTGGTGAAGCCACTCTGCAGCCCAGTTAGCACCCAGTTCTCCAGACTGAACTCATACTGTCACAGGGACAAACAGGTCAACAGGTCAATGAAAAATTATACCCAGCCAAATACATAGCTTACATAGCTCTAAGTTAAATTTTAACAGGGGTTGCATGGATTACCATGAAATTTCACTTTGCTGACCTTTCGTCTCACACCCATGCTAGCAGCTAACAGTTTCTGGTAACACTTTGCAGGGGTGGGGGGTATCGTCTTTAAAAAATATCTCAGTTTTGGCACTTTTAACAGTTTTGAAATCTTAACTTTTAAAATTGTGTGTGATAACCCTATATGCTGTATAATTGAGAGGCCAGAAGCTGAAGGTAAACAATGGCTGTAACAATTTAAATCTGAGAACCTAGCTAAACAACAAGCAATACAAAACAAGCATAGAAAGCTTGAATGCTTAGAAGAAGTGAAGAAGCTTAACGCCGCAAGAGCTCAAATAAAGGTCTATGATCAAGTTGAATAAAATTCTGAAGCAATTGATTTGCTACATAACGTTGAATCTGCAGGAAAACTTTAAGTTCTCAACCTCACAAGTTCCCCATACGTAACTCAAACTGCCCTGACTTCGATGTCAGTTCCTCAAGTGCAGAACAACTCCGATTTGGTCAATGTGCAAGCAAAGCTTTAAGTGCCAATCGTCTTCCAACACCAGAGCCTGCATTATTCACTGGAGAGCCGTTGAAATTCAAAGACTGGCGACTATCTTTTGAAACACTAATAGACACAAAAAACATTCCTAAGAATGAAAACTCTACTACGTAAGAAAGGTGGCGCTGCAAAAAAAATTGTTGAAGGATTTCCCTACTAGGCACTGAAGCGTTGAAGGTTCTCAATTAATGCAATAAGAGTCAAAAGATTTTGCTGAAGTTGCCAGATTGGTTGGTATTCACATGGAACCGCAAAGTGATGGAAGACAGATGAGCAAATGCTGTATATCCACAATTTAAAGAGTTCGTAGACTTCCTATCAAAGGAAGCAGATCTCAATACCCGTATCCTCAATAAAGCACTCAAGACTGTGGAAAGCGAGAAGTCGTCTATGGAGAGAATTTTGTTCTTTTATTATTCAATCAAATAGAATAGATTTGAAACCAAAAAAGAGATTTGAGAGCAAAAAAGAGTAAGTGGCAATCTTTTAGAACATTTTTGAGATTGAAACAGAACAGATTGTGATTGGAAAAAATATGAACATATTTCTTCAACTTCAATCAAAACTAATGTTTGTAAGTAAAAACATACGACCATTTTGCTTATAAGTCCTCTTTGCTTGCGAGTTATAAAGTTTTGTTTGCAAATCAGTCCTCTTTGCTTGCAAGTCCACTTTTGCTTGCAAATTCAACTGCACTTGATGGGCGGGGCCTACACTGGTGGATGAGAGAAGAGTTTCTATTGGTTGGTTTGACCTGGCTACGTCTTCCGCATTACACCCACTTCTCCCTGTGCTGTGCTGCTTGGAGGTAAGCCTGTTGCTCTTGAAACGTTTCCCATAAGTAATGAATTGCGCTATATATCGTTGGCTACAGCCTGCCGTACATTCACAACAACAACAACAACAACACAAGTAATGAATTATAATGCCCTGCTGCTGCAAGCACACTGATTAGCAGCAACATGGTTGTCTCTGCTGGTCACGGCCTGAGCAGAGTAGCCTAATGAGTGAGTGAATTACAGGGAGGCGTATACAACGTAAGGCTGTGATTTAAACATTTAGTGTTGCATGGTACTCGCGGTGCCAAAACGTCACGGTTCCTACACAACAGTACTACCATGGATTACTAAACTACCGCTGAACCCGGTGCCAGTTTCCATTGTGTAGCGGGCTCCCGCTACTCCTCCCAGCTCCCGTTCTCGCTACAGCTGTTCTAATGTCAACAAACACACGTGTGTGTGTGCATTGGTGTATGAGTGTGTATGGTAAATGGACCTGTACTTGTATACCACCTTTCTAGTCTTCTGCATTATAAACTTAAAATTACTTAAAATTAGTTATACTGTGCTTTAAGCAATGTATAATTATAGTTAGAAGCACTCATAAATATTCAGAATGCTTTATAACAATAATCATAACACATTTTAAAGTATTAATTTTTATTTTAAATGATCCAGTAGTAACAGTTATTATAATGCATTGGTGACCAGCAATTATGAACTATTATTATTAGGGACCGAGCACTTACAAGTGCAAGGACCCCATTGTTCCTGTTAGAATTATTATTGTTATTATTTGGTGCCTCTTCGACCGCATATTTGGCCCCCGCAACATGCTCGAAAAGTCATGAAAATTTGCACAAAAAAGAGGGATTCGTCATGACTTCTGCGTACATGATCCGACTGCAACGAAACTTCACATGTTCGATAAGAGTCCCGCCCTGAACACGTCTATGTGATAATATTCAGTAATAGTCAGAGCGCCACCTAGTGGCAACATGAAGTATCACGTTTTATACTTTCATGTTCTACTCCTAGCAGGATGATCAGATCCAGCTGAAATTTACTTAAAAATGCAAAACACATTGTTGATGATATGTGATGACTGCGGTGAGAGTGTCTGTGGAAATATATATTTTTTCTTTTATATGTATCTCCCAGCAGATTGCCCAGATCCAGCTGAAATTCTTTCAGCAGTCCCTTAGGACGATGACAAAGACATGTCATGAATCTTAAGAATTTTTGTCAAACTTTGTTGCCATGGTGACGTGGCGAAAATCAGCTATTCTGTTAACATTTGAACACCTTTTGGGGGGCTAAACATGCCCGAACATTCATGAAATTCTGGCAAACACTAAGGTATTGTCTTGGTCCCGCCAATGGGCGCCGCCCAACAGCTAAGCCACGCCCCCAGAATCAGCCCCCAAGAGAAAATTGGTACGCATGTGTATGATGATAAAAGAAGCAGAAAAGTCTCAAGGACCCATACCTCAAACCCAACAGGAAGTCGGCCATTTTGGATTTTGTGGCCATTTTTGGCAATTTACACACGTTGTATTTGAACGAACTCTACCTAGGGAATTCATTGGACCGACTTCAGATTTGGACACAGCCATCTAAACACATTCACCATTAAAAGTTGTGCTCTTCAGTTTTTTTCGTCAAACTTCCTGCCCAAGGCGTGGTGTCCCATTGCATCCAATTTCGATCCTTCGCCATAAAAAGAGGGATTCGTCATAACTTCTGCGTACATGATCCGACTGCAATGAAACTTCACATGTCTGATAAAAAAAAACTTATATCCACGCGTTCGGTGAATGGAGCTGAATCTCCCCATATAGGCCACGCCCATTACCCCCCAGAATTGTTTTTTGGCTAGAGCGCTAAATGTCCATAAACTACTTTTTCGTGTTCCTCCTACACACTTTGTCTGATTCGCACAAAAGTTTTCACGTAGCATCTCTGGACCGTCCTTATAAAAAAGTAATTTAGATTTTTCAAAAAATAAGCATGTTATAAAATTAGAACTTCCTGTTGTTTTTTCATCAAAAAGTGGATCATTTCTCCACATTGGTATCTCCGATTGACACCAACCTTGGGTCCATAGTTCCCCATGTCTTCCTTAGCCATCATGCACAATGTCAGGCCACCACCACTAGGTGGCGCTCTTTAAAATGAAGAACTTTGGCAACAGGAAGTATCACGTTTTATACTTTCATGTTCTACTCCTAGCAGGATGATCAGATCCAGCTGAAATTTACTCATACAATGCAAAACACATTGTTGTTCATATGTGTTGACTGTGGTGAGGGGGCGTGTCTGTGGCGTGGCAGGAAATTTTTATTTATCGCCACGAAACACAAATTCGCTATAACTTGAGTGTACATTGTCCAATCGGCTCCAAACTTCACTTGTCTGATAAGAGTCTCACCCTGAACACATAGTGATAGCGCCACCTAGTGGCAACAGGAAGTAAGTGCTGCGTGGCGAATTTGAGCTTTTTTATGTTGTGGTCCGCACTTGCTATGACGGCACGTGACGTGGCCACAGCACACCCCAACAGCATGTGACGCGGCCGCAGCACACCCCGACACATCAGCTCTGCGCTCCTTACAAAATCTTCCCGCTCCCACTCCCCTCTCCGTGCAAACTGGACAATCCAATCCAATCCACTTTATTTTTTTTTTTGTACAATGTACACTAAAGGTTACAACAGCTTCCTGTTTCATCGTGAAAAAAAAACAAAACTCAAGCTTTTGAGAATCTCCAAAAATTACCACTAAATCCAAAATGGTGGACAAACGCGCTGCGATGGCTCCTGTTGACCACTTACAGTGACTAATAACCAATTTGTAATGTATTATATCTGCCTATACTTCAGGAAATCCATTACTTTACTTAAAGCACCTAATGACCACTTAGAGTAACTTACATATAATAATCAAATTATATTGCACTGTCCTTTGCAGATAAGCGGATAAGTGGATAAAGATGATGATGATGATAATGATGATGTCGTCCTTTGCAGGTTTCTGATGCATTATTTTTAATTTGCTGAGAGCGAGGGACCTAGCAGAATTGGGTGTAGTTACACTTTAACATCATTGCCTTTCCTCTGGCAGCACATTAGCCCCAACTTCACATATTTTGCCACAGTAGTGTTCAGCGTAAAAAACCCTGTGAGAGTGGTGAGAGAAATTTAAAGCAGTAAAGTTGCGAGCCGGACAGCTAAACATGAGCTGAAAGAGTGTAACCACAGGACGTTGGCACTTGGTATATAAACATTCACAGACAAAGAAGAGACACACTCACCTCTGTCTCCTGCAGTATGATGAGGTAATCAGGGACAATAACGTTGAGTACTTCTTTAACTTCCTGTGAGGCACCCTGTGGCATCTTCAGGGGGACACCGTCCATATTCCTCAGTTCACTGAGAAACAGACACACACACATGCACACACAGAGTTTGACCTGATTAAAACATGTTTTCATTTATTTACAGCAGAGGTTCCCAAATTGTGAGGCGTGCCTCCCAAGGGGCACACACAAGCCATAATTTGCAACAAAAATTGCACTCCTTTACGAAGTCATAACTGGTCAAATCTGAACACACAGACATGATAGACATATATATTTTTAGATCTGACTTACACTTCACTAGGATATCAATATCTAAATGTCCATAAATGCTGCTATAGGCCTAGACTATCGGGGAATTTCCCATGATGGTAAATGGTAAATGGATGGTAAATGGACCTGTACTTGTATAGCGCCTTTCTAGTCTTCCGACCACTCAAAGCGCTTTTACACTACGTGCCACATTCACCCTTTCACACACATTCACTCAGTGATGGCAAAGTCCATCGAACAGAAAGTAACATTTTACAGGTTCTCATGGATCCTGGTGGAGCCTCCTGCCATGGTCCTGCCTGACTGCCATTGCGTATATCACTGATATTATTGTTATTATTATTATAAGTATTATTATTATTACTAGTTACTATTATTACTATTGTCACTGCTCATTGTCCCCCATCGTTGATGTCGTTGTCGTCATCATCTTCTTCATGTTCATCATCATCAGCCACTACTATTAGCGTAGTTGTTGCTACTGTTGTTGCTTTGCGTCTGTCTGTCTATCTCTCTCTCTCTCTCTCCCTCACCCCAACTGGTCAAGGCAGACGATCATCCACCTAGAGCCGAAGGGTCTGTCCTAGGTTTCTGCCTCTTAAAAGGCAGTTTTTCCTTGCCCCCGTCGCCAAGTGCTTGCTCATGGTGGTACTGTTGGGTCTCTGTAAATAATGTTATAAGGAGTTCGGTCTAGACCTGCTCTATTTGAAAAGTGTCCTGAGATAACTTCTGTTATGAATTGGGGCTATACAAATAAAATTTAACTGAACTGGATTAAATCTGCTAAAAAATCATAGAAGTCACTTGCCTGAACTTGCCTATAATTTAGCATATTAAAACCACATTCAATAAAAAAGGCTTTAATAGACAACACTTCTTAAAACCATTTACTAATGCATTGGCCAAATAAATTAAGTTTTTATTAATTTCATAAGGACTACAGCCTAGACATGAAAATGTGTCCTGAGATAACATCTGTTCTGATTTGGTGCTATATAAATAAAACTGCATTGAATCTACTACTGTTTCACTTTCTTCAGTTGTTTTTTGCTTTAAGGGCCATGCCTTTCTCTTACAACTTCACAAATTTCTCCATGATACACCTCTAAGCAAATATATTCCCTTTATATGGGCCGTGGCAATATGCTAATTGCAAAGAGTGGCCATGCACCTGTCAATTTAGACTGATTCAGATTTACTAACATACACACAGTGGTAAGAACAAAACTGGCCAGGAGCACACATTTCATAAACCCAACTGTGGTTTTGCGCTTGCACTTACTTTGCACATATTGGTGAAACAGGCTCTGAGAGGTTCAGTCAGATCTGAGAAAAGCTGAAAGCTAAATCAGATTTACTTTCCCAGAAAGCTTGTCTGCTTACACCTCTGCATGTCTATATTAGGCGAGTGTGTTACACAATGAAGAGTGACTCTACTGTATAGGGAAAGGATCAGTTGTTACAAGATTACGTTTGTTAGGCAGCATGATGCTCATTTCATGTAACAAGCACACCTCTCAGACATTCTGTGTATTTATATTATACTGGAATTAGGTTTTATATTATACTGGAATTAGGTTTTTATTTCCTCTGTTAAGTCATACACACACTTGTGTGTATGACTCTGAGTAAACCATAAGACAGAAGAAGTGCAATGAGGTAAATCTGCTCTGGGTCCTCGGTCCCTGCTGTCCTGTGTAAGCTAATTACATCTTTGCTCCAGTAACATCAAAACACCAAAGAGCCAGATGGTCATGGACTAACAACAGCAGAGAGGACACATACTCCGTAAGCTCACTTATTTACATGTTAGTGCTATTGGACAAAGAGTATGTAACCACTTCCAAGTGGCCTAGTTGAAGGCTAGTACCAGAAAAATGTCAAATCTGTATCCTGGTGAACATAAATCTGGAAAAGTTGCATATTTGCTATACATATAACATTTATTAATTTATTAAATGTTCCCATAAACAGAATAATTGTGATAAGATGTTTATTTTTTTTAAGAGTCTCCAGCTTTAATCAATTACTCATTACTCTTTTCAAAAGTAATATTATTACTTTACTTACTTCTCCATGCCAACAGTAAATTGTTACACTACTAGTTATATTACTTATATGCTACTCCCCACAAAATTGATAATTGTCTCCTTTCTCCCCAAAATTCACTAATGATGATTATAATCCAGTTTTGTTTGTTAAAATCTAAGTAATGGAATAAATCCAAGGATGTGATTGGATTGTTGGATTTCAAATCAGTAGGGGATGCCAATTAAAATACTTTATATATTTATACTACTGAAACTCTATATTGTAATGTTGTATTAAAACAAATGTTAGCCTACCTGTGTTGTGTTGGTGCTGCAGTCAGACTCTCAGGTGTGTCCTCTGTGGTATGTGTGTGAAGCTGAGACTGCAGTTCAGATTAGAGGAGAACCACCTAAAGCACTAATCTACTGACTCACAGTAAACCACATCAGCTGATTTACTGTCCAAACAAAAACACACACACACACACACACACACACACACACACACACACACACACACAGAGTCAGCGTATAGAGGAAGTCAACAAAGAGCAGTAAAGCTTCAAATCAGAAATTGGACCTCACGCAGAAAGAACAGATTTCCTCTTATTTGTGTGTATCTACAATTTATTCCTAACTTCTAGTACCCACTGATTTCTGAGATCAACCAATGTTTTCATATTTTTGCTCTTTTCTAAGATAAGACAAATTTTACAAGTCGTCAAGCACCAAAATGAGAAAATATCTATTTTAATATATTTTCATAGTCCACAAATTGTTTGTCTATACATATTGTTATCTAATAGATATCTTACATTTATGGAGTAAGGTTTTTTTTCTTATACTCTGTATTGAGCTATCTTATTAGAACCAGACATAGAAGTAATTTGCATTGGTGCATAGAAATCACAGAAAAAATAAAGCACTTTTTAAAATATAAACAAATAAAGATGAAGAAAGATCGATCTAAACTGTACAGGAAAGATATTTACAATGTGCAGGATAGAAAAACCAACAGGAGTGCATTAATGTAATGCATATATACAGGGTGGGTTTAAGTGATTCAAAGAGTTTGTGGGTCAGCCACAATCTTGCCTGCACGCCTCAGGGTCCTTGTGCAATCCATGGACAACCTGCTGCTGTAACAATCTTAACATCATTCAGCACACCTAAGAACAGATATGGATAGTTCAGAACATTTGGTGCAACTGGAGTTGACTCGTTATGTGAAAAGAATTAACGTCTGACTTTGCAGCACCTCTCAGCTCTACAGAATCATTTAACCTCTTTCAGTAAATCTCTTTGAATTTGTCTCTGTAGTGTCATACAGGTTAGAGATCCTGAGGTCATCCTAGAAGGTGAACTCACTTTCAAGAGCCACATTATCATAGTTAAATCCAGATTTCATCATTTCAAAAATAGATAAAAAAAGATCTTTCTATCCCAGAATGACGCTGAAAAACACACTTTTATTTCCTAAGGGTTCGAATACTGTAACGTGCTGCTCACAGGAATTACTTAAAAATACCCGTTAGCTACGCTACTCCAGAATCCAGCTGCAGAGTTTAAACTAGAAAACGGAAATATGACCTGTCCTGAGGTCGTTTAACTGGCTACCAGTACATTTAAGAATTTATTTTCATTATTACATTTTAATGCTTGTTTTAAGTCGCTACATGGTCATATACCCCAGGATCTCTGACAGCGCTGACAGCTAGACCCCCAGGTCATCGGGACAGGTTATTGTTGGTCTCCACAGAAACTGGTGAAACTGCCTTTAGCTTTTATACTCCAGGCCTCTGGAACTTACTACCAAATCATGTTAGGTGTGCCGCAATGCTGTCGTCTTCTGTAACTAAACCTTTAAAACCATTTTAGCTTTCATCGTATTCTTATTGGTCAACTCTTGGTCTTAATTTTTTTCCCACTTTCCCAAGGGTCTTTAACTCATGAGTATTTTTTTTTAAATCTCTTTTGTGTTCACTTATGTCTAATGTATTATGCTATCCATATAGTTTTTGTGTCTGTAACTCCTGTGGTGGCTTACGTTGTCCGTTTCCAGATGCAGCTGGCAGATCTTTTTAGGGAAAAGGCTGTTAAAAGCCACTGTACACTACCTGTTGAGCAGCAAACAGCAGACACACACAGTCACAGACTAGCTGGTGAACATAGTGGAACATTTAGCATCTAAAGGCCTATACCTCTTTAGAGTATTAGATTATTTTGTTTTTCTGTTGTATTTTGTAGAAATTATAATAGCAGAATGATTTCCTCCCAACAAAATACATTTTTATTACTGAGGTTGAGAACAGAGAAAAGCTATTAACAGACAGCAGGAAAATAAATAAAAAAAAATAAAAGTACACTTCAAAAATAAATAAATCTATCTTGCTCTCTCTCATCCCTGTCATCATTTATTAGATCTGACATGTAGAGTTATACAGTCTGAAAACTCCCAAGACGCTGCAGATTACATATTAAAATAAACATTGACAGTGATATGACATCAGATTGTTAATTTTCTCATTCTCTTGTTCAAGTTAATGTTGTCATTCTCTCGAGAAAACAAATAGCATTAAAACTGTATAGTTATAGTTGTGTGTTGGATGTCAGGCACTAGTTGGCATTACATGCAGTGAGTCAGGGGGTGTCTCACTCAGTGTCTGCGGAGTGCAGAGCAGAGGCCCAGGCATGGTCTGAGGGGGTGTCAGGTAGGACCCAGCTCTGAGGAACCGGCGAACCATCAGGATGAGCCGTTGCAATCACAAACGCATCCCATTCTCTCCTGAAAGAAAACCATATTACAGTCCCAGCAACTTATTATATCCTACAGAGATAATTTCAATAGCAGCATGGTAGCAGGAGCATGCAAGAACCTTAATACGTGTTGACAAATGACAGCAGGAAAATCATGGGGGTCAATAATAAATTCTGACGCTCATGGTTTTTACTGTTATGTGACACAGACTGAAATGAAGATGAAGATTAACCTGATTTGTAGTAAAGCGTGCAGTGAGCGTTCAGCCTGGGTGTAATAGTCTCTGAAGGGCTGCAGAACAGAATCAGCCGGAAGCTCATCTGTGAAACAAACAGGGAAAACGAATTAATAGCAATATTTTATATAACACACCCATGTGATTCAATTATACTGCTTTTCAACTAAGGCAGAAGTTGATTCTGTTTCAACTTGTTGTCTACAGGTCGCCTAATTTTTTGGCCTTTGCATGTGCATTGGGAGAAATCTGAATTAAGTTACATGTGTTCTAAAGGATTCAACATTTTTAGTTTGCTTTTAACAGACAGAATTCCCGTATTATTGCCTTAGTTTGATCCATTCATACCTTTCATTATCAGAGAAATGTGCTTTGTTGAAAGTACATATTTTCTACATGGATCTCCTCTTTCTACTGAATGCCTGCTATTGATAATGCAATAAACAACAACAACGATTAAAAAGTAACTAATACTCCAGTAGTTTTACTTGTAGTTGAGTAATATTTCAGTAATGTAACAGTACTTCTATTTGAGTACAGATTTTCAGCACTCTTTCCACCACAGTATAATTTATGCTAAAATCCTTAATCCCCCATTGTCGTTTTCGGGGGAACAGACGCCTTTGGCTGTGTTATACTTAGTGTTAAACCACAAGAGTAGCTGCCAGTATTTCCTTATAGGACACTGATTGGTTCGGACACAAGTATAGCTTGGGGCTGGGCGATATGGCTTAAAAATAAAATCTCAGATTTTTTCACACCAAACCGGATTTACGATTTTAATCGATTTTTTTACTGTTCTTTAGCGAGTGTGTGCTGCTGTCCTGTATCTCGCAGAGAGCAACATTTCTCCCACTCGGCTGCATGCCTCTGCTTGAGGTGCTGGAATAAATTGGTCGTACTGCTACCTTTGGTTGCAGTGGGTTGTGGTTTGTTCGCTTTCGGACGCCACAAAACCAAACCAGTTCCAAACAACCGACGACACTGTGCCTATTTTGGGGGCGAGCTCATCCTGGCTTGCTGCCATGTTGTGTTTATCTGTGGAGGGGCGGGGGGAGCGCACTCTGACCTATGGGAGCCCAAAGGGAGCGCCAGTGTTCAAGAAGTTTTGGAAGTTCAAGAGAAAACCGATTTTAACTAAAAATAAATCGTGTTTAACTACAAATTCGAATTAATCGATAAAATCGATTTATCGCCCGGCCCTAAAATAGCTTGAAGTATGGCAAAATGGATTCGCAAGATTGTATGAGAATCCTGCCTGTCTGAATCTTGTCAGTCTTCAAGCTATGTGTTGCTTCACAAGGTTAGTGAGGTGTTACCTCCAAACAATATTGCGTCCACTCTGTGTTTCCTCTGCAGCTGTCTCTCCCTCTCCTTCTTCACTCGTTTCTCCCACTCTCTCCTCCTCTCCTCCTCCTGCTCTCCTTCCAGCATCACCATCAGAGCTTTCTGCTCTGCTGAGTAAACTGCTGTCCTCTTCTTCATCACACACTTCAGCTGCTCCAGTTGGCTGCTGAAGGCCTCGTTACATTCTTGCTCAGCTACAATACCTGTAACACACACACACACACACACACACACACACACACACAGAGTTACAGTCTAGGCAACAGCAATATTTGAGTGTATTTGAGCCCAATATGAAGAAATTCAATCACATCATTCATGAGATATCACGTTCACAAGAACGGAACGAAGGAACGGATGGACAGACGGACGGACAGACAGACAGAAAATATAATGCCTCTAGTCACTGGTGCAGAGGCATAAAAACACTACACAGATTTAATTTACAGTGGTCTTTAAAGGTGTTAGTAAGTGGATTTCTAGTGTTTTTAGAGAGAGCCAGGCTCAGTTTCCCCCATTTACAGTTTTTGTAAACAGCCTCCTGGCAGTAGTTTCATATTTACCATACAGGCCTGAGAGGGGTATCAATGGTAAATGGACTGTTCTTATATAGCACCTTTCGAGTCTTTCGACCACTCAAAGCGCTGTACGCTCACCCATCTGCACACATTCATAGCATAGCAGCCATGCAAGGTGCTGGCTGCTCATCAGAAAAGGAAACTAAGCATTCCTAAAAACATTCAAACACTGATGCACAGCATCGGAAGAAATGTAGGGTTCAGTATCTTGCTCAAGGACACTTTGACATGCAGCGAAAGGAGTCGGGGAACAAACCACCAACCTTCTGATTAGTGGACGACCCGCTCTACCTCTAAGCCACAGCCACCCAATCTGAACATCTATCTCTCAGCGAAAAAGGGAATTAGCACATTTGCCATATAGAACTGACAGGCTGTGTTACTTCCCCCAAATCTCTATGAAATGGAAAGGCACTTGTAGGACAGGCAGTAGTTCAGTGAAAGGAATAATGGGAAGTCTCACCCATTATTCACACTAGGTATCATGGGACTGTTAATAAGGTGGGTGGCTGAATATAGCAATAACTGTCACCTTTCCTCAGTGCTGCCTCTTTCCTCAGTCTGCGCAGTTTCTCCAGAGATCTCAGAACATCCTGCATCCTCTTTACATCTGCCTGCTTCTTTCTCACTTCACAGAGAACAGCATCTGCGGCCATCTTCAGCTCCTGTTCCTGATAAATAAACAGATAAACATCTGACCTTCCATTATCATCTTCTGCTTTTCCCCCCTTATCATCCCATTGTGACAAAATATACCTACTGTGGTTCAGTTATCGTGTCTAAATGAACGATAATATGTCACAGCATGATATGGTCTGCCATTTGTTGTTAAATTATAGGACTTGTTGTCTAAGTTGAAAGCTTTTACCATAATATTTGAATAAAAATCCCCAGACATCACCTGTCAGCTTTGCACAACACAAACTAACTTCCATTCACCTACATTGTTCTGGAGTGGAGGTAGACATTTCACAGACACATTTCTTAAAGCCTGGGAAAATAAAACCAAAATTATCTACATGGACAGATACCAGTGGTTTTTTTCACCAGGACACTGCTTAGCTGAATCCCCTCTCATCTCAGTGTTAGCGGGGAGTGAAGTGCACCATACAAATACTCAGTCATTTTACAGGTTTCTTGTTTGTAGTGGATGAGAAAGTTCCACGTGGAGTTGATGAGAGTGGTGAATACTGGACTAATTAGACCTTAATCAGGAGGCAAACAGAACAAGCTACTAATGTGAATAACTTAATACATGATATCATGAATGTCTTTACTTTATACTTCTTCTGCCCCCAAGTGGACAAAAGTGAATACATCTTTGAATTCTATGACAAATGTATTCACCTTCTTCTTCTCCTCTACTTTGTGTATCTGTTGCAGCCTCCATTTATCTATGGCAGCCTCTTTCTCAGAGAGCAGGTCCTCTCTATGTTTTATCTCCATCTGCTGCAGTTTTCTGGCTCTCTGTCGCCGGGCCCTCCTCTTAGCAACACAAGACAATTTAGCTTTCCAAGTATCTAAACACGAACCGTCACTAAGAACTTTGAGTTTGTCTTGTAGCTCTTTCTTCACGTTTAAAGCCATTACATAAGAGTCCGTCCAAGCACACTTATTTTCCACGTTGTTCTTCAGAGTTTCACAGGACCCTGCCAATTGAGAGATAAGTTGAGCTGCCCTGTGCAGAGCCCTTCTCAGGTCAGGAACACAGCTCTGCTGGGTCTGTGGGATCTTGGAGGTTTTGCCTCTGCTTTGTAAGAAAAGTCTAAGCCACTGTTGATCGTGCTTCCTTTGAAGGCCTGTTCCATCTTCAGTTCGTGTTGTTGTTCCCGGACTCCGGTCATGGTCTTTACCCCACGGGGAAAACACTGTGCAGCCGAACGGAGCTCCACTCACGGACAAATCCTGATATTCATGCTGTTGGTGTTTCCGACTAGAGTCCGGGTCATACTGGGTAACGTTCAGCTGAGGACCGGGCCTAAATTGTTGTGTGCGATGAAACGCTGAGGCCCCACCATTGCTGTATGTGTTTACCGGAGGGGTGGGAATCATGCTAGGGAAGTGTCCGGGTGGAAGACAGCCGAAAGGAGGCAGGGGGACGGATGGGTCAAATCCATACGGAAGGCATAAGCGAGGCCCTCCGAAACCTCGTCCTCCGGGAGACGGTGCGGAGAAATCGCACCTGAATCCGTACGGGGGACCGTCGTATCCCTGTGAAGGAGTCCAGCGTGGAGCAGTATTGTCCGGCTGTGTCGGCTGATGATACGTGCTCGGCGGTGTTCGCTTGGCGGCAAATGGTGTCTCCAGATAGCCGCCAGTATAGACAGAAGGCTGCTGTTTATTTGACGCTTGGTCATACGTGTTGTCCATGTCGAATATATGGCAAACTTATTGTGTCACACTAAATAATTACATCACTCTATCAATTCGCCACAGTAGCCTTGTTCTTGTTTTTGTTTTTCTTGTTTTTTTTTCTTCTTCTTCTTCTTCTTCTTCTTCTTCTTCTTCTTCTTTGGTTTTCTGGCGGGCTTCTTCTTCTTCATATGGATTTCCGGCAGTTTAGACGCATCTAGGCGTATTACTGCCCTCCTCGGGACCTTCTAGCGGGCTACAAACCAACGTTAAAGATGTATGCCGCCATCTACTGTATCGGAGTGTGTAAAATCATGACTATATTGGAGTTATATTCTGTTTATTAGACCTGTTTCATTTAAGTATTTGATTAAATCCCGTTGAACCTATATTTGTGTGTCCCCCTATCCCCAACAGACACCCTCCAAACCCTTCCCACATCCATCACCCTGTCTTTCCCTTTCAATATTAAACCTTCTACAATCCCTCAGCACATGTTTGACACTCTCTTTACAATTACATGTTTCACACTTATCAGAATCTATCTTTTTCATAACCTATAGTGTAGCGTTTAACCTTGTATGACCTAGTCTTGACCTTGTTAGAATTATATCTTCTGCTTATCCTACTTCTTACTCTAACACATTTTTGGATTGTATTATAGTCCCTACACTTGATGTCATTGTTCAATATATTTTGCCAAGTTTCCACTATTCCCTGCTGAATTATTGATTTTACCTCTGACCTTCTAAAATACCGTTTTTGTTTAATAAACTTTTAGCAAGTTTATCAGCAACCTTGATTCCCTTTATTCCAACATGCCCCTGGTATCCAACAAAAATTAATATCAATACATAGCTGTTGTAGGTTTAATAAAATCATGTATATTTCCATTGTTAAATCATATCTGACTGTTAGTCCTGACGGTATATTTTGAAGTACAGCTACTGAATCTGAACATATTACTACTTTGATCGGTTTGACCTCCTCTACCCACTGAAAACCGATGATTATTGCTATCATTTCTGCTGTGTATACTGATAACCTATTAGTAATTATTTTAGCAATGCTCTTATCGAATTCTGGAATGTATATTCCCACACCTACATGATCATTATTTTTATGTTTTGACCCATCTGTAAATATATTTAAATAGTTATAATAATTTTTGGACAAATATTCTTGAGTCAATCTCCCAGTATCAAAGTTCCTGGCTGACCAATTTCTTTTCTTTTCTAATATTTGTAGATTAACTTTTGGTTGTGCAAATAACAATGGTGAAATTGTACTGATGATAACTGCTGGACTCTGTTGAATAGTGTCTAGTTTAAAACCTCTACCTGAAAAAGTTCTGTAGAACTGTTGATGCCATATTTCCAGTTTCTCTTCCCTGAATTCTAATCTAATGTGTAAGTGATACAGTAGCCATGTTTAGTTTACGTCGTTCTTTTCCTCCTCACGTTCTTCTCCTTTTCTTCCTTGTGTTTTCGGAAGATTGTAATCTCAAACTAGAAAATTTCTAAAGAAATTTTGAGTGTGCCTGACTCTGGCCCATACATTACTGACACTGCTGAGTAGTTTACAGTATATGACCTTTACCATTGCTTATTTCTTGTGTTTCTACAGTTAAGTGCTTTTATGTAAACGCAAATATTTTTTAATATATGGTATTTCTTAAATGGAGCTTGGCATAATATTGTCCTGGGATTGGGCAGGAAGCATCATGGTTTAATTCAAATTGCTAAAGTAACTAAATAAGTAATAGCCACAATGATGGGAATAATAAGTATATAATAATAATAATAATAATAATAATAATAATAAGTAATGGTAACAACAACACTAATAACAATATTTATATTAATAAGTAAAACATAATTAAGAAAGAAAACTATTCTTAATGTGCAGTCATAGGCAGTGTAGGTTTTTGAAACTTTTAGAAAAGTGTCCACCAGACACCCCCTACCTGTTAACATAGAATGAACGTTGTGACGTGTAGGCTTTTATTTTGAAACACCACCCTCAGCCCAATTTTCAAGTTAGGGTCCTGACCATTGGTCCAGACTCCCTAATCCCTATGTTGTAATCGTACCCTAATATCTCTTCTAAATTCCATCCTCCTCCAGCCCCTCTCACCCTTTGTTGTAATCGTACCCTCTCTCCATTGTGTTTAAACCTTTGTATTTAAATTTAATTCAATTCAATTTCAATTTCAATTTCAGCTCAATTTTATTTGTATAGCGCCAATTCATAACAAAAGTTATCTCAGGACACTTTTCAAATAGGTCTAGACCATACTTTTTAAAATGATCTACAGAGACCCAACAGTTCCCACCTTGGTGATGGCGGCAAGGAAAAACTTCCTTTTAAGAGGCAGAAACCTTGGACAGACTCTAGGCCCCCACCTACACTTAAATTAGTGTTCAGCATTGCAAACTCTTATTTCTCCTTTCTTGACTGTTTATTATACCTGCTGCTACTTTCATCTGTGTGTATGAGTGCATATTAATAATAAATACAGTTTTTATCTTAATATACACTTATATTGAGAAAACTAAATCAAATGTTGGTTGTGCACTAAAGACAAATTTAAAGAAAGTAATGACTAAAGTGAATGACTATATCATTTGATAACCTTATTTTTCATTCAGTTAAGTATAAAAAGTACTGGATATTTCCAATGTATTATGTAGCTGATTTACAGTAAATAATACCACAGTATTAATGAAGAGTGGAACTGAGAATCACTTTGAATTAAATAAATCTTTATAAAATGCACACAAATTACACAAATGACAAAAGTGCAACTTGGATCAAATAAAGACCACAGTGAACAGTAATTGTTCACTCTAAGATAACATTATAATTTTACTATAATAAAAAAAGTTAAATGATTCAAAATAGAGTGAACTGTTTAATCTATTTGACAAAGAAAATTACCAGAAGCACACCAAAAATTGTCGGGGACAGAACAATGAACTAATTAGAAATAACATAAAAGGAACATGAGGACATATTAAAAACAACAACTGTGAACATACTGTATCAAGCCATCCTTAAGCTAGAACTTGAATGTTGAGGCTTTGTTCATGGGTTTTTTGATAAAGCTTATAGTTAGGGCTAGCTCAGGTAAGTCCTGAACCATCCCTTAGTTATGCTGCTATAGGCCTAGACTATCGGGGGATTTCCCATGATGCACTGAGCTCCTCTCATCCTCTCCCTCTCTTTCTGCACTCGTTCATGTCCCATTAATGCATGTTACTAACTTCACTTCTTCCCCAGAGTTCTTGTGCTTTCTCGTCTCACAGGTTCTCATGGATCCTGGTGGAGCCTCCTGCCATGGTCCTGCTTGACTGCCATTGCTAATATTACCGATATTGCACGGTAGCACTGACCTCTCACATCATGAAGGTCATGGAGAGACTGGTCCTGGCACACCTCAGACCACTAGTGTGCGCATCGCAAGACCCCCTGCAGTTCGCATATCAGCCCCATGTGGGGGTTGATGATGCCATGATCTACCTGTTGCAGACCTGACACCTCAGTCCGCGTCATGTTCTTTGATTTCTCCAGCGCCTTCAACACCATCCAGCCCAGACTGCTGAAGGCCAAACTGGAGAACATGCAGGTGGGTGCTCCCCTCATCAAATGGGTCGATGACTATCTGACGGGCAGACCGCAGTTTGTGAGATAAAAGAACTGTGTGTCTGACCGTATATCTATATTAGTAACACCTGGGCCCCCCAGGGAACTGTACTGTATGGCAAGCCATTTTAACATTTAACGGCTAGACTGGATATGTGTTGAAGATATCTCTAATTCAGTTTTGCCTAGTCAAAAAGAACATTTCAGATATCCGCAACTACATTCTTCCTATCCATAATTGTCATTTCAGATATCCACAAAGACATTCTTCCTAGGACAAATGACGTCACTTTTGCCATTCATTTGTATGGGGTTTATTATTAAAGATATCTACAATTCAGTTGCAGATATCCACTATGTGAATTATGGATATCTGCAATTGAATTGTAGATATCTGTAATTCCAGTTAGAGATATCTACAATTTGATTCTGACTAGTCATAACTCCAGTTCAAGATATCTTTCATTCACCTCAATTCAAGATATCTACATGTTCCTTTACAGATATCTTAAATTAAGTTTTGACTAGGCGAAATGACGTTGTAGATATCTGTAACTGGAATTATGACTAGTCAAAATGGCGTTGTAGATATCTCAAACTGGAGATAGGGATAGTCAAAATTTAATTGTAGATATCTATTATGAAGTTATAGATATCTTGAAATGAATTTTGATTAGAGATATCTGAAATTGGATATCTGTAACTTTCATTCTGCCTAGTCAAAATGTAATTACAGATATCCTGAATTGATAATGTAACGTTACTTTCTACAACAAGACGACTATTTCACCGGCAAGTTCATCGAGTTCGGGGTGAGTTTTCTTTTTTAACATCAGAATAGCTTTTTGAATGGGTTCGCTAGGGGCACTACTAGCAGCTAGAACTACTGCTAATACACATCAAAATCTGTATTATATATATATATATTATCGACACAACATGACACTTTGCTTGCAGTATTATAAGGGTCCCTACACATGAACTCGAGCATTGAGAACATTGTTCGTGTACAAAATGTTCCTTAAAAGACGTTTTTGTTAGCACAGGACCTAGCTAACGTTATCTCACGTTGTCTTTCATATATTTCATATTCATATTCCAGTGTTAAAAACGGTTTTGTTTCCCTAACTTGTTTTGCTGGGTTGACGTATCGTGCTTCGTTACTTTATAGTTATTTGTAGCATAATTTACTGGCCTGGCCTAATGCACCAGCCTCAGAAATATTTACGCTTAACGTTAATTCGCCTGTAGGTATTGATTTCAGGTTGAAACGGTAGCTAACAGGTAATCATGGCTTTTTACTGTGGAAAAAAAAGAACTAATCTGAACTAAGAACTTTTTTTTTCTCATCTAAGGAAGTTAATGTTATTGCACTTCCATGCCAAGAATAACATGCATGTCAGTATTTTTATTAAAGTGATTTAGTGTGAATCTCTCTCACGCATGAATCCCACATCAACAATAACCTACGGTAATTTTAAGCATGATCATAAACATAGAAATGCATGGCAAACATTGCATGTTGCCAAAATTTGAGCCCCCCCA